AATCCGCTCTCTCACACAGAAGCACAAAAAATGTAATGATGGGGGCTCAGACAAACAGTGTCACGTGTACATGGAACATGGGGCCTTCTCTGCCCCGGAATCCCCACAAACAAGATAATGTTCATTTTGTTTTACCCGGTACAGCGAAACGTGGAGCAGTTCCGTTCCTTGGCGAATCGACAAACTTTCGGATTAAAGACATTATGTCCGTAATTGACGTTTTCGGATCAATGGGGACCGAGTGTAGAGGGAAAAGGGCTTCACTTTGAGCACCTTCTTTTCTTTAAGTACAGCGATCTGAGACACTATAAAGTGGTATTTAGGTAGACATAATACTAATCTATAGATGTGAATCCATTTGATGATACATCTGTGAGGTTTAAGTTGATTTTGACAGCCTGGGCCAAGTCGGACCGAACACTTCTGACACAGATTTTCTTAAGAAAATACAGTAAAAATGTTTCACTTTGAGCACCTTGTTTTCTTTAAATACGATGTACCGTGACATTATAAAGTGGTATATAGGTAGATTTAATACTAATTTATAGATGTAAACACATTTGAAGATAGATCTGTGTGTTTAAAGTTGATTTTGACCTCCCGGGCCAAGTCGGACCCAACACAAGCCAAACACTTCTGATAGAGCCTACGTTGAGAATGTAGAGGGAAAAGGGCTTCACTTTGAGCCCCTTGTTTTCTTTAAATACCGCGATCTGAGACACTATAAAGTGGTATTTTTTTAGATATTATACTAGTTTATAGATGTGAATACATTTGATGATACATATGTGAGTTTAAAGTTGATTTTGACCGCCCGGGCCAAGTCGGACCGAACACTTGTGTGACTGTTGAGAGTATAGGGAGAAGATGTCTACTTTAACCAACGTGTCTGCTTTAAATACGACGATCAGTGACATTATAAAGTGGTATTTACTATAGTACGTTCCTATAAATATAAACGCTATGCCGACAGATGAAAATTTGTATCACGATAGCTAGAAGTATTTGATACGTTTCAAATCGTATTTCGTTTAACGATTGCTCTTTTACATGTTGCCAAGATCAGTGACGCTTACACACAGCTCCACTTTCTGGTTTTCAAGCGATTTACTCCGAATTACTTATTTATGGTGCACTGTTTTGTTTGGTGATTGTTCATTAATGTCATGTGTGTATGTTGCATCAATTATATGTAGGTATGATCGCCGATAATGAAGTAATTAGCCAGTAACACTTTGGCCCGTCTTGGCCCGGCCCGGCACGACTTTTAGGCAATGCCTGGGGCAATTCACTCAGACACTTTATTCATACGCGGTTTTTAATTACTTCATTGGACCCGTGAAGATTCTGGGCGGAATATATAGGTCTTCAGTAACCCATACTTGCCGTAAACGGTGACTATGCTTGCCGTAAAAGGCGACTATGCTTGTCGTAAGAGGCGACTAACGGGATCGGGTGGTCAGGCTCGCTGACTTTGTTGATGCATGTCATCGTATCCCAATTGCGTGGATCCATGCTCATGATGTCAATCACTGGATTGTCTGGTCAAGACCCGATTATTTACAGACCACCGTCATATAGCTGGAATATTGCTAGGTGCTCCGTTAAAAAACAAACAAACAAACAGTTACTTCATTGAGTGAATCAAAGTCTTAAACATCGATTATTTTAATGAATGAATTATAATGTGACAAAGTTTTTATCACCTCCTCTGTCTCTGTTTCGAATTTTCATATATTGGGAATACAAATATTCCGATAAATATGCAAGTCACCTTGGTGGAACATATGAAATTAACGTTACGAAAATCCACTTTGCTGAAAATCTCTACACAATATACACTCCATCCTTTCAGGGGTACCGTCGTGTATCTATCACATAGAAATATACAGTGGAACTAAAGTATATCTTAGGTCATGTTTGTTTTACAATATTAAGATACATTAGTACCTTGTTTCCCACTTCAAAAACTCAATTTACCGACCTGTGGGAAAACCTAGGGAACACACCGAAGCCGCGACCTTCTTTTGACGGTGTGACATCCCCTTTCACGACCGATATTGTATACAATTATGACACATCAGTTAGAAAGTCGTAATATTTTTCTTTATCAATAATATACCTATGTTATCTTCACTACTCACTCTTACGCACTGCTGATGGAGGGAATTTTCGCTTTCATGGGTGGTTAGTAACACTTATATATTTTTTACGACTTGATGAATTCCGAATTTTTCTACTTATTCTGCTATAAAAAGCTATCGCATATTGGCCAAACTTGTCTAATAGTGAGGGTCGTAATGTGTAGGAATGGGATCACGGCTTTGATGAAATATGAACGCCTATTTATGAGTCTTTTCGGTTGGAAAACATAATTTGGAAAATTCAGTAGCCTGTGTGATAACATGATAAAAGAGGAACATCACGATACATAGTAATTTACACATGCTTGCTCTGTAATATGTACCTTGTGAAAGAAATTGTCTCGGGCTGCTGGGTGTATTTATAAACCTGTCCTGAAAATGTGGAAAATATGTCAACAAGGTGTTTTACTTGGCCCCAAATGCATGAGTTGGTGAACTTTGATGTGGGAAAGTAAGGTATCGCAGTTGACAACCGCTCGCATATTGTGTGAGAATTGACGGGAAAATATACAATGTACTCGCTTTCGCATGCGTGATTGGCTTCGATATATCGGGAATTTCTTTTCATCTTCACAACGCGCATTTTGAAACATGAGTGAGTGAGTTGTAGCAACGTTACGGCGGGGGGCACCTCCAAGAATGGGTCGTACACGATGTAGCATCTTGAAACAATCATCTCAGATGCGTCTTGATTATGATGCCAGGACTCGTACTCGTGGATTTCAGAAAAAAAGGTCATAATAAATCTCTAAGACCTGTATTTCTTCAGCCTTTAGTCTCACATTGACCTCGAAACGCTGTGATATAACAATACTGTCCAAAGCGGATTTAAACCAAACAAAATCAACTCATCGCTTTTCGCAATATATTCCAGCAATATCACGGCGGGGGACACGAGATTTAGGCTTTAAACTTTGTACCCATGTGGGGAATCGAACCCGGGCCTTTGGTGTGACGAACGAGCGCTTTAACAACTAGGCCACCCTACTACCCGACGGATGTAAGGCACCGATCATTTGATATTCTGTGTTTCAAGTTCATTTCAATTAAGCCATCTGTTAGATGTTTAACACATCTTCCTTTATCTTTGGAGAAGAGCTGTGAAACTCGTCTCTCACTGCAACTTGGTTACGTAATTTGGATTGAATAGCTAGTTAGCACCCTCTACTGGTCGTACAGGGCGACTGAATGGTTCGGATGATTAGGCTTGGTGACCTAATTGATTTCGGATCACGGTACCCCGACGGCGTGGGACGTTGGTCATCATATCAATCACTGGATTGTCTGGTAAAGATTCGGTTATTTACACACTGCTCAGTGCAGTCTCAAAGATCAAAGTGCATTGATTGTGAGATGATTTTGTTTTACAATGGTCGATATCAGTGTGGTTATTAAAGAATACAGTGCAAATATATTTGTATAAATTCAAACATATCAGGGGGACTTCCTGCATTTCTGCAACAGGTTTCTATATCCTCTTAAAATGTCGTTTTGACTGTCCCCTCCACCCCTCTTAACATTCGCTGAATCAGCATGAATGTCAAAATCTGCATTATGTGTTGTTTCAAGGTATCAACGTCAGCCTCCCGCTAAACGTGTTTACTTGATAACTTGTTAACTTTATTATCAAAATGACCACAAGAACATTTTGCAACTCAGATGTGTGTCAGTGAAACCGGATTATCCTAGCTGTAAGAGTTATCTCTCCTCAGACCCAGACGTACAAGACCCTGTCATTCCCGAACACGCTCTGTCATAAAGCGGGGATAATGTTGATGATCAACCCTTGAAGATCCAGGGTACAATACGTCTTCAGCAGCCCATGCTTGTGGTCAGGCTCACTGACTTGTTTGATGCATGTCATCGATCCCAATTGCGTGGATCGATGCTCATATCAATCACTGGGTTGTCTGGTCCAGACTCGATTATTTACAGACCGGCGTCACATAGCTGGAATATTGCTGGGTGCGGCGTTAAAGAACAAACAAACAAACAAACAATCAACTTCTCAGTCAGCGGAGCGTTACATCAGGTGTATTAGCTCTCACCAAATGCTTAATTCTAAAGCATTTCATTGAAGTGTCAGTTCCTTAATTTTATTACTAAGAAACTGACACCCGATCCGTTGGTAATCTTATGTAATCCTGGGTACTATCTTAAGCCTTAATCAAAATCAATACGTTTCATTAAATCTTCAAACAAAAGGAGAGGATGCACGAGTTATGTGATTCTAAAATATCGCAATATGATACTGCACATGATGGCTGTGGGTGTTCCCCGGAACTTCATTCAGAGGAAATACTTGTATAAGAAAATTACATTCTGCAAAAAGCTGACAATGGCCGATGACGTTAAATTGCAGCGCTTTTGTTGGTAAGAATATCAGTTTTCTTTGTTTCCTCGAATTTTCCTGCCGAGTTAAAATAATACTAGTATTCAGTGAAATTTACGGAACGTAAGTATTTTACTTTACATGACATTTGGTTTACTGACATAATAAATACAATCAGCTTTGGGCACCCCCCATGGAGCCGAAATGGCTTGTGGTCTGAAAGTGTGACGTTCAAAGCTGAGAGCCATCGGATGTCAATCAGAAACTTTCGAGGCTTTTATGAAGGTAAATGTTTGAGGCGCACGTAAAATCTCGTAAATTTAGCAAAATTCTGTCTGTCCACCCGTCCTTCCGTCACGTTTCGTTTCCGTAGAATAGCTCGCAAACCATTTAATATTTTATTTTGAAACTTTGCATTTTTCTCAAACACATGATGAACATGTGTCTTTTGGTGTTTTGGTATTTTTTGAAAAACAAATTGTGTGTTTCCTTGGCAACAAACTGGACTTTGTCTCAAATTCGTGTAGCATTCGTTTCCTGAGCATAACCCGGAAACCGTTTAATACTAGAATTTTATTATGAAACTTTGCATATGTATCAAACACATGCTGAACAAGCAATATTAGCTACCATCCCTTTCTCCACATATAATCATTACTATATTAACAAACAAAATTTGAATGTGCAGGGTACAGTTATAACGCTGTTTTCATCTTGTAATTTCTTTGTGAAACGTCCATGAGGCGTTTGGGTATGTGAAATGAGTGCATTGTCGGTTTGATATGTTTTTATCTTTTGTTAATCGTGAAATATGTTGTCTACATCATAACCGACATGAGGTGTATTTTAAAAGGTACATTCATTTCCATTGTCTAAATACGACATTTAATTCACTGACTTCAATAATGAAAGAGGGACATTTTCTGTTATTGTGAATCTCTTTCTCTGTCTCAACACAGGCAGGTTCATTATCATCACCCGCCCATTTCAGCAAGAACAATCGGGCAACCTCGCCATTTCCGTCACCTGCAAGAATTCTCATCCCCTCGTGATCAATGTCATGTGCGAAAGCACGACAAACCAATCAGAACGCGCGTATTGTTTTAAGTACTTTTTTACAAGAATCCCACCTCAATAGCTTGTTTCTTAACGTCACCAGAGTGACAATCACAATTGATTCACCGTACTGAATAATAAGTGGCTGTAAATGTCAACCGTTATATATTGAGAAAATATCGATGCAAACTTTCAAAACAACGGTGTATATAGACGAGGTCTGTTTGCGTGAAGACGGAACCAAGTTGTCCACGAGAGGGCATTCGCATTCGGCAAATCCCGAAATTACATGAGTGGTCACGAAATTACATGGTATATTATTTCAGTTTGACTTGAGATCGTCCATATCTTTGACGTATGCTTCGTTGATTTCACTCTTCCTCGTGGGCTCGGGAATATTTTCGTCCGCGGAGTTATCTGCCCATGGCTCAATCTTTCCACTACCAAAGATTATAAAAATTAGGGCTGCTACTACATAGATGCCGGCGCTGATATAGAAGACGGTTGACCACTGTTCCCGCGTCCTGTGAAATACGTAAATATAGTTTACTTTCACAGATTTTTGTGTGTGATTGAGTGGTGTTTAACGCCGCTTTGAACATTTTTTATCAGTTATATCACGAAGCAACAACTTCATGAAGGAGAGCACGAATGGACCACCACTGAAACCTACAAAACATTATATGGTGTTATACACCAAGGGTCATTATGGGGGTTCAAACTAAGAACCAGCTGATCCTGGCACGGCTAAGGGACGTAACTCTGTATTATTAATAGAGGCTAAGAGACAAAACCGTATTCCGGCGTGCATGAGCTTGGTGGAGGAGGAAAGCACGAAGTGATGCATGTTGAAGTGAGTGAGTATGGTTTTACGCAGCTTTCAGCAATGTTCCAGCAATATCATGGCGGGGGACACCACGATTGGGCCTCACACATTGTACCCATGTCGGGAATCGAACCCGGGTCATCGGCGTGACGAGTGAACGCTAACAACTAAGGTATGGACAGAACGTGTGTCAGAACTGGGTCGAAATTGGTTTCGAACCCCCGACAAATGTCCTCTGCTTCATGACATGTTTTTTGTCGAGAGTTATTTGTTCCTGTTGTTGAGGTTTGCAGTGTGATTACCTCTGTGACGATGTAGGACACAGTGACGGGGGCAAGGGAGTATGCAACGAAACTGAACACCTCTCCTAATGCCGTTAGAAAGGAAGCGAACCTGTTGAATGAAAACAAAGAGAAATGTAATCAATTTGACCAATCAAATAGATAAATATATCCGGTAGGCGTGGTGACGTAGCGGTATGGTGGCAAAGTGGGATGTCGGCGTGGTGACGTAGCGGTATGGTGACAAAGTGGGATGTCGGCGTGGCGTGGTGACGTAGCGGTATGGTGGCAAAGTGGGATGTCGGCGTGGTGAGGTGGCGTGGTGACGTGGTGGTGTGGTGGCAAAGTGGGATGTCGGCGTGGTGAGGTGGCGTGGTGACGTGGTGGTGTGGTGGAGTGGGAAGGATAAGGCGTCATAAGATGGCGTGGTGAAGTAGCGGTATGGCGGCGTGGTGGGTTCTTGACACATATAATTTCGACATGATGGAACTCTTTCTATCTCCACAATTGTATACTGTCGACATGATGGATCGATCTTTATAACGCCGACACTTATACAATGTCGACATGATGGGAATCTTTATTACACTTGTGTAAGCTAAACATGTTTGAACTCTCTGTATAATCCCGACACTTACTAGTATATAATACTGACATGATAGAACTCTCTTTATAATGCTAACAATTATACAATGTCGACATAATGGAACTCTTTGTATCTCGACAATTGTATAATGTCGACATGATGGATCGATCCCTATAACGCCGACACTTGTAGAATGTCGACATGATGGGAATGTTTATTACACTTGTGTAACATGTTTGAACTCTCTGTGAAATCCTGACACATATAATGTGACGTGATAGAATTATCTTTATAATGCTGACATGGAACTCTTCATTCTCTCGACAATGTATAATGTCGAGATGATGGATCTATCTTAGCGGCTTATCAACATCTCACCCGAAGCTTAAAATGGTTTTCAACTTACTTAACGATAACATTGCTGAGTTCGTTCGTGAGTGATTGAATATGGTTTTACGCCGCTTTTAGCAATATTCCAGCAATATCACAGCGGGGGACATCAGAAATGGGCTTCACACATTGTACACATGTCGGGAATCGAACACGGGTCTTCGGCGTGACGACCGAACGCTTTAACCACTAGGCTACCCGACCGCCCCGCTGAGTTCGTAATCTTTTCAGATTGGTTTTGCAAGCAGAGGCTATATAGAACGTCGTAAGAAAAGTTTTAAAAAGATCGGGGGCTTAAATTGTTTGATAGGCATTACTTAGAAGTTGACGGATGATCGGGGCCTGTTCTGTTTTAATATTCTTAATGCCTCGTTCTTTTTCAGATGAAAAGTAGAATGTATCATCCTTGATTAGTCATCCTTCCCAACAAGAAATGTTTCATGTGACCCCCTACTGCGGTGCTATATCCACGGGGCTGAGCAAACAGCCAACGGCGGTCACCGACTGGAACGGCATGGACACTACGAAGATGGCAACGGCGATGATCTCCTGACCATCCTCCAGAGAGCACAGACCAATGGTCAGCACGGATGCCACAGCAAACCCTGGCAATAATCAATGACGTTATGACAATGTGGGTTGGTGAGTGAGTTGAGTTTAACGCTGCTTTGAACAGTATTCCAGCTATGTCATGGCGTGTAAACTTTTTATGCGAAGAAAGCCCGAAGTGAAGCAGGTCCCAGATGCTTACCCCTTTAGTGAAACACGAGAACAGGTATGGTGCTGACACACCTAGACACATGGGAACCGGGATTCGAACCCACAATGATGGGCCCAGCGGCGCCTTGGACGGTTTGGCCACCCGTGCCCCCCAATATTCAAGTGCAGGCAATAATCAATAATATAATAACAATAAACAATGAAGTAATGGCAATAATAAAAATAATAATAATCAATGAAGCAGTGGCAATAATCAATAAAATAATAATAATCAATGAAGCAATGGCAATAGTCAATGAACAAATGATAATAAACAATGAAGCAATGGCAATAATCAATAAAATAATAATAATCAATGAAGGAATGTCAATAATCAACGAGGCAATGACAATAAACGATGAAGCTATGGCAATAGTCAATGAGACAATGGCAATAAACAACGAAGCAATGGCAAAATTCAATGAGGCAATGACAATAAACGATGAAGCAATGGCAAAAGTCAATGAGGCAATGGCAACAAACAACGAAGCAATGGCAATAATCAATGCAGGAAAGGCAATAATCAGTTAGGTACAGGCAATAATCAATAAAATAATAACAATAAACAATGGAGCAATGGCCATAACCAATGCAGGAATGGCAATAAGCAATTAGGTAGTGGCAATTATCAATAAAATAATAACAATAAACAATTAAGGAATGGCAATGATCAATGAGGTCAGGACAATAAACAATGAAGCAATGGCAATAAACAATGCAGAAATGGCAATAATCAGCGAAGCAGTGACAATAATTATAAGTGACGAAATGGCACAATGAGTGACGTACGAACAACGTTACAATGGCAATCAAGGTGGCGAAGCCTACCAAATCCATTCAGGGGGTGCGAGGGCCTCTCCTAACCCGGAACTGTGTGCGTTGTGTTATGGTGATAGGGGGCGGTCGGGTAGCCAGTGGTTAAAGCGTTCGCTCGTCACGCCGAAGACCCGGGTTCGATTCCCGACATGGGTACAATGTGTGAAGCCCATTTTTGGTGTCCCCCGCCGTGATATTGCTGGAATATTGCTAAAAGCGGCGTAAAACCTCACTCACTCACTCACTCACTTATGGTGATAGGGTGGAAGATCTAGAGGGGGGTGGATACCGGTGTGTCCCATCTCTCTGACACTCAGAGACTATGGTCATGGACTTGGTCGAAACTTATTAAAGTCTCAACGTCTTTTTATTTGACACACATATGGCTACCACCTATCGCGGAGTTGTTCAGTGTGTGCTTGAAGCGTACCGATTGTCTGTATAAGTTTCCGTGTGTGGGTAACGGAGATCTTTTTCACCAGCTTCATGCTGACGTGGCTCCAAAACACAGTCCCCATGACACGAGTGACATAGGGCAGCGAGGAGAGCACACCGTTCTGTAGGGAGACAAACATAAGGGGCGATAAGGAACAGACCACTTGACATTCTTATTTTTAAAAGAAAAACACCTTGCAAAAATGTAACTTTTGTTGCAGGCAATTTTCTTTTAAAAAAGCTTAAGTATTATTTTTTTAAAAGATTTTTCGGGGACAATTTACATGTTTCGATAAAATCCCTTGTAACAAAAACATGCTTCGTTGCCATGTTTTTTTTCAATGGAATTAACTCCTTCAAACTGAATCAGTTTTGGTTATTGTGAAACGGAATTTCCTGGAATTTTGGGTTTATTTTTCCATTGGAGTTAGTTTTATCAAGAACGATATAATGCTTCAGTTCCATGGCTGGCCCAGTAGGAGGAGGCGCCGTTGCTTGCAGGTGAAATTTAGCCCAAAGGGTTCGAATATCTGATTCACAGAATATGTTTACCCTTGCTTTGATCTATCAGCAGAAGACATTGCTCTCTTCCCCATGGGGTATGGTGCAGCCAAACCGGGTTATTCCTTGTTCGAACCCACGTGGCGCGGATCGTGCATGCTAAGGGCCGTAACCCTGCACATAGAGTTGCAGCGTCTTTGACAACTGGGCTACCAGCGCCGCAAGCTCCAACCCCTTAAACACTGCATGTGTCAAAATCATTGAAGCTCCATAAATGGGAAAACGTATTGCATGAAGTTGTTAGGCTTCGGGCCAACGATAACTGGGCTTGTTTACCTGTTCCACGTCAAAGTTGAGCACGGTTGCCATATACAAGGGGAGGTAACTCGCCAAAATACTACTATTGCACGTATGCAGAAAGATGACAATCAGATATGCCCACACGGGTTTACTCCGGAAAATGTCCTTCCAGGGAACATTTTTATCCTGGAAAATATAAATGGTGGGAAAAGATCTAATTCAAGATTGAAAATAAACATGAAGCCATGCTATATAATAGAACAAAGTACATGTTCTAAAAAGAACGATATTCCCCGATTACAGCTAACATATAAAATAGATCATATTTCCTGCGGGTAATTGAGGACACGGGTTGATTGTGGTCGGGTGCATATCTCGGATCACAGGTGGACGTCCAGGTGGTACGAGTTGATGTCTGTGGGCACGGGTGTATGTCCGTGGGCATGGGTGGATGTCCGGGGGCACGGGTGGATGTCAGAGGGCACGGGGGGATGTCCGGGGGCACGGGTGGATGTCCGGGGGCACGGGTGGATGTCCGGGGGCACGGGTGGATGTCCGGGGGCACGGGTGGATGTCCGGGGGCATGTGTGGATGTCCGTGGGCACGGGTGGATGTCAGAGGGCATGGGTGGATGTCCGGGGGCACGGGTGGATGTCAGGGGGCACGGGTGGATGTCAGGGGGCATAGGTGGATGTCAGGGGGCACGCGTGGATGTCCGGGGGCACGGGTGGATGTCAGGGGGCACGCGTGGATGTCCGGGGGCACGGGTGGATGTCCGGGGGCATGTGTGGATGTCCGTGGGCACGGGTGGATGTCAGAGGGCATGGGTGGATGTCCGGGGGCACGCGTGGATGTCCGGGGGCACGGGTGGATGTCCGGGGGCATGTGTGGATGTCCGTGGGCACGGGTGGATGTCCGGGGGCATGGGTGGATGTCCTGGGGCACGCGTGGATGTCCGGGGGCACGGGTGGATGTCCGGGGGCATGGGTGGATGTCCGGGGGCACGGGTGGATGTCCGGGGGCACGGGTGGATGTCCGGGGGCATGATTCGATGTCCGGGGGCATGGGTGGATGTCCGGGGGCACGGGTGGATGTCCGTTGGAACGGGTGGGTGTCCTGGGGCACGGGTGGATGTCCTGGGGCACGGTTGGATGTCAGGGGACATGATTCGATGTCCGGGGTACGGGTGGGTGTTTTGACCATGTTGACCAATATGGCACAGGAAGAGGAGTGTCACTGTGCAGAGTTGCATCCCTTGGGCACGCCAGAAACCTATGACTGTGGGTTCGAATCCCGCCCCTATAATATTTCTAGTTTTTTCAACGCCATACCCGAGCTTGTGGGTTTTACCATAGTGGTAAACGTCTGAGACCTGCCGCAATGTAACTGAAATACTGTTAAAAGTGCTATTTATGTGCTACTAAAATCAAAAACCTTGAGCTCTATGTCGACGTTTGTTCTGTTCGTTAAGATATAAATCTTTTCATGCTGTGAGATTCTTGGATGCATTTCCGGTTTGTCATGACCCCAATACATCCACGCCAGACCCCAGAGGATTGCGCAGCCACCTGGAGAGAGAGAGGGGCGTCACTGAATGTGATGATGATAATGGTGAATAGTAGCGGCATTCTACACAATAAATAGTATTTCAACAACAGGATGAGAATCTTCAATTATAAACATAACCTTGAAATGGGTGTGGTGGTCAGTGCCCTCCAGACTATGTCGTCCATTCTCTCTGCCGCTCGGGTACACGTGGAAAGACTTAGAGAGAGGGAGGACATTTTTGGTTGTCATTATTTGTTGTTTTAGGCCGCACTCAGCTATATTCCTGCTATATGACAGAGGTCTATAAATAATCGAGTCAGGATAAGACAATACAGCGTTTGACATCATGAGCATCGATCCACACAATTGGGATCGATGACATGCATCAACCAAGTCAGCGAGCCTGACCACCCGATCCCGTTAGACGCCTCTTACGACAAGTATAGTCGCCTTTTACGGCCAGCATGGGTTGCTGAAGACCCATTCTACCCCAGTTCTTTTGATTGGTAAAACATACACAGCCAACAGTAGTAGTCTATTGAACTGAAACTCCCTCTTACCAAACACGTAGAAGATGAACGGCCAACCGTTGTCTATTGGAGTGAGACAGAGGAATCCACAGATAAAGAACGTCACAATACTTGCTATGTTGTATCCTGATAATTGAAAAAAAAGACTTGACTTTTACCCTTTTTTTCGTGTGTTGAGGTATAAACGTAAAAACCGGAGAACAAACTATGTAAATCCGTTATACTTGTTTTTCAAACCACAAACACAAATAACACATAAATAAGTACAAATAATAAAACTGCTTATTTAGTCATTAACACAAAATAACTGCAGCCAACAAATCAAAATCAAGGAACTTTGTTCAAAGAAGTCAGTCAGTGGGCTTGGCCTAATATTATTTGGTTTATGGAACACAAACGCAAAATGAATTGCTTGTTTAGCCATTCCACGGACTAGCAATTATTTTTTATTTGCTCTTTGGAATTGATATACTGTGAAACCTCGTTGTGAACATGTCAGACCTTATTATACATGTATGGATAATTGAAAATTAAGTACGCTGAATACAGTCGAGCGTTATGACCTCTTCAAAATCCACATCGCACCAATGACTTCATGTCGGCATTTCACTTGTCTCGATATGGCGCGACATGTGTAGACGGTTGACTGTTTTTTAATGTTCGGATAAAAACATTTCGACAAAATTATTATTTACACCGCCACCATCTATCTACCCGTATTCTACATGGTATGGGTACTGGTGTGTCAAATACGGGTGTCTCCAAAATATAATCCCACACATCCCCACTGATTTCGTGTGACATGACAAATACCATGTATAAATGGCAACACGTTGTGCAACGTCCCCTTGGTCTGACAATCATGAGTTGGCACCACCGTAACCTACATGTTTAAATAAAGTGGTACACGTCGACGACGTGCGCTATAGTGATTGCTCTCTCTTAAATGACCAACTATTTCATATCATGGGAGTGAGTGAGTCAGTGAGTGAGTATTGTTTTACGCCGCTTTTAGCAATGTTCCAGCAATATCACGGCGGGGGACACCAGAAATGGGCTTCACTCATTGTACCCACGTCGGGAATCGAACCCGGGTTTTTGGCGTGACGAGCGAACGCTTTAACCACTAGGCTACCCGACCGCCCCTCATATCATGGGAGGATGGGGGTGGATGTTTTTTGTGGGAATTTACTCGAAACAAATTAATAAGTCCCTTTCTGTGCTTCAGACTGTTGCAAGAAACAACACAAAAATTACACTGTTGCAAGTTGGTTTTCTTCTTCATGGTTCTATAATAATAATTTCATGTTTTGAAACGAGATCTAATCAAAGCGGGGTCGAGCCTGATTCCTTCCCTCTCTGACCTGTGAAGGTGTAGGCCACCAGCTGTGCCTTTTCTTGTGTGGGAGCCCAGTACAGCCACACGTCAAGTGTTACAGGCAGCAAGCCGTTCTGGTTTGTAAGGAACATCATAAACATACAAAAGGAAATTCACTAAATTGATGTTACAGTGAAGTATTCCTCATGCTACATTTATGGCTATTTTATATGTTATTATTCAATAAAGAGAAGTTTCAAAATCAAGGAATCTGGTAAATATGAAATGTGAAATCTTGTTAGCTCGAATTCCTTCAACTATTCTCATATCAAATATCGGCGCCCCGCTTGTCTCTTACAACAGATAACTCGAATTTACTGTTTATATTGGCTAACATTAGTCCCTGAAATAAAGTAACCTTATTTAAATACATATATCTACAAAATAAAAAATATATAATCCACATGGAGCCCAGAACAGTGCTTAAATTCAGGCATCTTATCATTCTAGATTGAGTTGGACTCCTTTTTAATTTATAGGAGATAGACTTCTGTATATGGTTTTGGCCTTGTACACGCACAATTGCAAATCCGAGAAGCAGTCTGCAAATGACAGCCAGATACACATGACTTCTTGCCGCTACCGGAACAGCGATCGTCGTGACACCACCCAACATCATACATGCACAGATGACTCTCTTGGCACCAAATCTCCGTGAAGCCATGCTGCCAAATATTGGCGAAATAATTCCAATGTAGTAAGTTGACGATATGAGAAGACCTTGCATCTGGCTGCTGTAGTCAAACTCTGCCGTAGACGCCTGGAAAAGATAAGACATTTAATATGTGTGTGTGTGTGTGTGTGTGTGTGTGTGTGTGTGTGTGGTTTAACGCCGCTTTTAACAGTATTCCAGTTTTATCGCGGCGTGTTAGCTTAATGTGGGAGGAAAGCCCGAAGTGATGCAGGTCTCGGACGTTTATCACTTCGGTGAAACCCACGAGCACGGGTATGGTGCTGACAAACCTAGAAACATAATCGGGGCGAACCGGGATTCGAACCAGCAATCATAGGTTTCTGGCGTGCAACTCTGCACAGCGTATCGCGGCGCCTAAGACGACTTGGCCACCCGTGCCCCCACAAATTTAATGGGATTGGCAATATAACACCAATGTTGCAAGTTCTGAGTTAGTAGAATGTGTCTATGTGGAATATCTCTGTTAAACTGCAACATGGTATCTCAATGGGCTAGCACTATGAAACGTGCATTAGTCCCGACAAGCACAAGCAGCCTCACAGACACGCACACACACGTGCGCGTCGCTGTTAAACGCGACGTTATACCCCATTTCATCTCACCTTTATTCGGACTAAACATGAATGAGCGCATGTGTTTAAACAAAATAACGGTTGTAGCCCCGTGGATATTCTGAAACCCCGTGTTCGATTCCCCAGTGGATGCAATGTATGTCCCCCAACGTAATGTGGGGGACATGTGAACAGTAACTCTCACTTCAAAATATTTGATAATCAATGTCCATTTTTTTTAAAAACATACCTCACGTGAATAATTTAGCGATCCGCTGCTTCCAGGTGAAAATGCTGCTGTGTAATTGGTGCCAGCATTGCTTTGGTTCGAGTGCTCTCCCTTGTTAAGAGTTACCCCCCTTGTCATGCATACTAAAGCGAATGACATGCAGTTCTTCATGCACTGGACAGAGACCATTCCGAGGATCATCATATATCCAAAGCGCCACCTGTAGGAGGTGTATTTCTGAATCACGGTCGGGTAGTTTTCGGGAAGTGTGTCACTATGGTGTTGTTTTGGTGCGGAACACGTTCCATTAACTGCAAAAAGGATATTAATGTGACTTTGTTATAAACATCCGGGCAACGAAAGTTTACACTCATGTTTGATGGTGGGTAAAAGTCAAACAAACAAAATATGGTAATTCGTTGTATTTGATACGGGTATCATGGTTGTGTTTCGGGCCGTATTTTGCAGTGTGCGACTGTTTTCAGGCGAGTAACGTTTTGGTAACGTTTGTAATTATTTGGTGAAAATATTGTTGTGTTTGTTGTTTAACGCCATACTCAGCAATATTCCAGCTATATGACGGCGGTCGGTAAATAATCGAGTCTGGACCAGACAATCCAGTGATTGACATGATGAGCATCGATCCACGCAATTGGGATACAATGACATGTTTCAGCCAAATCACCGTGCCTGGCCACCCGACCCCGTTAGTCGCATCTTAATATTGGCATAATTAGGTAATATTATTAAGGTAACAACTGGAATATATTGTGACTTATTAATACAAGTAATTCTTATATATTAATATAATCCTAAAGTGTGGATCACTGGTACCTATACTTGTCTTGAAAGGCGACTTAATAGATAGGTGGTCAGGTTCAGGGTTTGTACCCGAATGGCGAAATGCTCATAATATTAACCCATGGATTGCCAATGCTGGATATTTAGCCGTGAGGCAGACCTGACGTCCCTATTATAATACGACGCCATTATACAATGTCTTCACGTCCTTCCTGTCAACTGAAGCCCTCAAAAGCAAAATGCGGAGTTTACAATCAACAAAATCAAGCCATTCTGGTAATATTGTTTAAATTGTGAATATAAATGTAACACCCAAGCCGGATGCCAAGTCATTTTACTATTATGGATTTAGAAAAGCATATGAATAAACATATTCAAACGCAATGAAAAGGTAAGTAAACCGTTTTAAGAATTCTATTTGATAACGTCTTTTTAACCGATCAGAACCACATTATTCATTTAACAATGTATACTTTTAACTTCAGCACATATCACCGAATCACCTACCTTCTGCCATGTTGTCTCAGTGAAGTTTCGTTCATGGAGTAGTTCTTGGATGGAACACAGTGAGTATAGCCCAGTGCTGGGGTGTGTGGGGCACTGACACCTGGAGGTTATGATGTCTGTGAGGGGGCATGTATAATTCATCATCAGCAGCAGATGATGACACGGGCGTGAAGATTTCAATTGGCATTCGTGCCGAATTTGTTCTGGGCTGGTGGTGCCCTCGTTTACACGTCACAACAGAACTTTATTGTGCTTAAGGCCGCGTATAACAGCATATGAAGTACATCGTGATTGAATAAGTCATTAGTGAGTGAGTGAGTTTGATTTATTGTTTGTTCGTTTGTTGTTTAACCCCGCACTCAACAATATTCCAGCTATATGACGGCGGTCTGTAAATAATCGAGTCTGGACCAGACAATCCAGTGATTGACATCATGAGCATCGATCCACGCAATTGGGATCGATGACAAGCATCAACCAAGTCAGCGAGCCTGACCACCCGATCCTGTTGGTCGCCTCTTACGACAAGCATAGTCGCCTTTTATGGCAAGCATGGGTTGCTGAAGACCTATTCTACCCCGGATCTTCACGGGTCGAGTTTGATTTAACGCCGCTTTGAACAGAATTCCAGTTGGATTGTATATCACACGGCATGTCAGATTAATGTGGGAGGAAAGCCCGAAGTGATGCAGGTCTCAGACGTTTATCACTTTGGTGAAACCCTAGAGCATGGGTACTGACAAACTTTGAAACATCATCGGGTCGAACCGGGATTCAAACCCACAATCATACATGTAGGCCATGGCGTGTCCCAGGGACCCAACTTTGCACAGCGAATTTTGGCGCCAGCTACGACCCCGAATACGTCAACAGAACTGTGGAACATATGTATGAAAGTCGAGTTTAACAGTTAAGGTTTTGAAACAGAGTTAGTTTTTACACTAAAACTGATCAAAACCTAGAATGCTTTTGGGGGGAATTAGCCACGGGATCAACACACCTTCAAAGACAAACAGAGAGAGGTTCTCAGGCAAAGCAGGAATTCTTTATTAAATGTTTTCATCATCATCAAGCATATAGACATAGTCAGACAATCTCCTTCATCATCAAACACAAAGACATAATCAGACAAATAATTAAGCAGTGATACCAAAACTGTTAAGATATTCTTTGTTATATAATATGCATGAGTTAATAAACAGTTGCTTGTTATGTGATCTCACTTTGAGAACAATGCATTAACTTCAGAGACGTATCAGTACCCATTCAAGTTACAGCCTAATATAACATTGCATAAGATTACGTAACACATTTATAATTAAAATACCATTTGTAAAATAATAACAAAGTGTAAAGTGTAAGCTCAACTCATTGGATATTCATTTACATCATAGCAGTGAACATTTGATATAATGCAGACATTATAATCAATTCAAATTAAATTACTCATTGATAATTACTCATAATGTTTGATATATATATTTAAGGTACTCATAAATAACATCTGAACAATGTTTACAAAAAGCAATCATATGAAAGATTATAACAACACCTTTCTTGAACAATGACATGTCTAATGACTTATTTTACATTAAATACGGTAATGTGACGTCATGAACTATAGCTGATTCAGGTGTACACTCCAGAGTTAAATAGTGAACACAAGATTTAATACGGTAAATAATAATGGGACCTGCATTCAATGACTGAATACATTATACTAAATTCAGATAACAGCTATGCGCAAAAATGATTAAATACGGTACGTGACGTCACTGCCGAGCGCTGGTGAGTGTGCCGTTATATAACAATGAGCGGTGCCGCCTGTGCATGCCGCGCTATGCAGGCCGAGCTTATACAAATCACACATGAATGAACACCGTATTTGAAACTTGAAATATACATGAATTAAAACTGATTATTAGTGAACGTATATTCTATTGTGAATGTTTATGAACCTTATTGGAGATTTCGCCAAACAGAGAAATTGCTTGTGAACTGTAATTTAGAAATGGATATAAACACTGCTATAGGAAAGCCTGTTTCATTATAACTATTCTACAACATAAAACTACTACGTTATCTGTAGCGTCCAAATTATGCTAAAAGTATAGCATCTGAGATATTCTATACAGCGTCCATTCATCTTACCGAATGGAAGTAATATGCATAAATTGGAAAACATAAATTTATCAGGCATTGCTTAATTTGTGTGCATTTATCTAGAACAGAAGTTACGTTCGAGTATTGTGGTCTAGTGCTATGCCCTCACAAAGTAGTTACCTAATAAGAAATATTTTGGGCTACAGATAAGAATAATATACTTTGCTGTACTTGCACTGATCTGGTTTTGTATATAAAGAATATATTTGATGCATGAACATCGGATATAAGTTATATTCTTGAACCGTATTTATCAGGCATAAGAACGCAAACAAATATACATAACGTAAATTATATCGAGTAACTGGATCATGTTAATGCATATTGACGCATTTAACGTTGTTGCATTATAAAACCACTCTACTAACGATACAGCATACAATAAGGTAAATAACACGACACACATATGAATAGTGGTCCTACCGATACATGGACAAATAATTCATACATTATTATAATGCACGCTGTTCACATTAAAACATGATAATTATGAAGCATCCACGACACCTGTGATTACTAATTACAAATGTATTTGCCTAGTAGTTTTAACCCGATAAGTAAACATGTGGGATACGAACGCTGATTGTGGAATAGTAATATTTCTACATGCGACGCACGCATATAAAGTACTGTAGTTAATTTGTGTCAGTAAAACTTGAATAATATGCAGCTTAGATTCGCACGGCATTTCGAATACATAGAGTATAAGTTCATTGTTCAAGCAAGATATTCATACAAAATTAAAGACAATTTTAAAAGACAATTTTAAGCAAAGTTCAACCTAAATGCCAAAGTAACAAGTAAAAGTGACTTACCTTCAAAGACAAACAGAGAGAGGTTCTCAGGCAAAGCAGGAATGACTAACAGTCGATTTCCCCCTATATTTATACCTGAGACCTCCTTTGTTAATCTGAAGGCAAGTCTACACGAGCATGTCCAGTTTGAAATTTGAGACTTTGGACTAATAAAGACTGGACATGTTATACAATTTTGTATGATGGGTTTGGTCTGTTAATAGCCAAAGCCCACGGTCAGTTTGGAAAGTTGCGTAATAGAAGATTATAAATGCCGATAGAATCACTCAGCTCGTGTTTGGTTTCGCGTTTTCAATTTTCTAGTTTGGTCAGTTGACGCTAAATAGCTGATAACGGTACACTGGTAAGTGCCGAACGCGCTGACCACTACTAGTTGTTATTCAACATGTAATTAAAGCCTCGCCCGCCGACCTGATCGTGGCGGCGTAAATCTGAAGTGCCAGATGTTGTTATGCAATTTCTTATCGCTAGTATGTACCAACAGGTCTTAAATGGTTAACCGACAACTTATGAATTGAAGGCGAATTTCACAAAAAGTTGAATAAAATATAGCAATTTTAGCACTGTTACAGTTTTAACGGGACTTTTAGGTTTTCATTATGACTGAGGACATTAATCCCTCTCCTGTGAAACATATAATCACATGCACAGTGTTTGGCCCATTGCGATGCTGCCATCATACGAAGTGAGAAAGCATGGTATTCAATCCCTATTTCATCGAGCTTTAACATAGATTTGACCAAATTTACCGAAGGACAGAACTCGTTCAGCAAGCAAAAATCTTAAGCAGTGTTTCCATGGAATAGTAACACAAGTATACACTTTTGCCAGTTCCTAAACGGACCCAAAATCTAACAATACATGTACAGGTTCTTGCTAGTTTCCCATATAACACGTGTTGGTGTATTGACTTTCACACAAAGAGATGGACACTTTCAATTATTTACCCATGAGCTAGAAATTAAAGACACCTTGTCCGTTTCATATTTACAAACCTGTAGCACAGTGCGTTGTACGACTGTATAAGACTGTGCGACATGAAATGATTGCTTCACACTTGTAAGACAACATATGGACAAAGGCTAAACAACAGCCTATTTATTTGGTATCTTACAAATAAGTGAACAAATAATAGGTCACCCGAAGACAACGAATAGTCAATCAAACGTAGATATTACTGATACAAGTAACACATATTACTGATACAAGAAAGTCAGGGTCAAGATCCGTGTCGGTGGAATAATCAGGGGTATGCTCGACGGAACAGCTGTTTGTTGACATTTTAGAGAAAAAACGGACAAAATAGAAAGTTGTAAGCTTTATTTTATCAAATGCATAACAGATAAATGTACGGATATAGGAAACAATCTGTGCTGTATAAGACCTGGAGTGGATGTGTTCTAGGGGGGACCTGAGGAAACAAGGAACTGTAACGATATGCAAGTGACGCTTTGCTCGAAACTTAATATTTGAGAGTGACTGGTAGGACAGGACAAGCCTAGCCTTTTCGCGAATACCTGGTGTCAGCACTGATGTTTCAGTGATCAATTCATATAATTTTCACCGCTATTTTGCTTTTTATGCCCAATGGAATCAGTTTCTGTGGATAATCGAGACTGGATATTCTCTGGCGTGGACGTTATAAATTTATATCACATCACAAATGCAATCTCAGCTAAAACCCTCCAGAAATGTTCAATCAGGACTATTAACCTATGGCTGTTTGCGCATTAAAACACAATAAGGCTCAGAGCAATAATTATATATACTCCACAGGAAAAACAAATGTTAGGAATCATAAATAATTTTAATAGGGGATAATTTTATGAAATGTGTGCCCAGTCGTCACTTCAAAAAAAATATCCTTAAAAATAATTGTGATCAATAACTTTTTACGTTCAGTGTATTAAATTGGAATGCGTTTTTTTCCGGTCTATATTTTGAAAATGTACCAGGTAAGGTAGACATGTTGTACAAGCACTCACACGAGGACGCCATGTCCTGCCTTGCCTGGTCCAGCTGCATCAGATCCAACATGGACTCGAGTCTGCGACCACAGATGTCCACCAGGTTGTCTACACAACTGAACGCTGTCCGACCCATACTAGAAGGATACACATATCAATCTCAATAAAATCAGGTTTTAAAATCCGATACCTCACCTCTCCACGTGAAGATCTAACAATCACTCCATAATCCACCAATCAGCGTCGGGTCGTCGACATTCTCGGTGCGAGCGAGCGAAGCATTCAGATCAACATATCTGATGTTTCAATTACACACAGACAGCATGCACGTCACTCAGTAATACACACACACACACACACACACACACACACACACACACACACACACACACACACACACACACACACACACACGTCCCTGACCTACACAGGCAGCATGCACGCCCCTTACACACACAACATATGCTTGTCTCAAATGATTTACAAACACACAACCTTCACACGCCACACGTACATAGTACCTACACATGTACTTACATGCACAACCCTCATGTACACACACGACAAGCACGTGCTTAAACACTTACCTACACATGGTCGTACCCGCACCTTCCGGCTTCTCGTCCCCCGAAAATAGTTCCATGCAGGCAATAAGCCTCTGTTGGAAGTCCAACGGACATCGTACTTTAAACATTAAACAGTCCATGAAAATAAAACAGGCTCCGGGTTTGTAGCTGTAGCTGAAAAGATATCAAATCACTCTACAAAATCCCCAAAGACCCACCCACCCCCTCCACCTAAACTCAAATGATCGGTCCACAGTAAGCGCCATTGAGTGTATGATTTTGTTGTGGTCAGTGTGTGTTTCTGAGTCCTCAAGCTGTTGGATACTTTCTACGTAGCCAAGGGTAGTTATCTCAGGTGCGTTCTAAGGGACCCAGTATTTAGTATTCAGTGGCAGGCGGGTCGGGTCAGTTTTGATTTATTTGTCGTTCATGGCCTTAAAACATACAATTTGTCTTCGCCGTAACAACGAAACGAACAATTTTATTTTTAATTCACAACCGATTTTTCACGACAACCAGGATGTACAGCAAACAATATTTGACGCATACCTGAGGAAAAACTGTTACCTCTTGAACGAGACCAGCATCACTTCAGGCTTTCCTCAAACGTCAACATTTGCAGCACAGCGATCCAGTAATAACAATAACACAAGACCACACGTTGCATGAGTTCTGCAGCAGTATCTGACTCAGAACAACATTAATGTGTTACCCTGGCCTACGAGGTCCCCTGATCTTTGACTAATCGAACATGTCTGGGATGAAATGAAACGATGTGTGCTTCTGGTTCTTCGGATATTGATATATTTAGTTTAATGAGGCGAAAATGTCAGGCCTGCCCCAAGGCACACTGTGGACACACTCGCTACTGACTGTGTAAACTGAATCCCCTCTTATGGCATGACTAATGTCCACGTTATTGGAACCCTTGAGTGGGTGAGAGAGTTGAATGAGAGAGTTGGTCTTAACTGACACCCGTGTAGTTCCGGGTTGGGCAAGGCCTTCAACCCATGTTTGCCGTAAGAGGCGACTATGCTTGTTGTAAAAGGCGACAAACAGGATCTTGTCGTCAGGCTCGCTGACTTGGATGATGCATGTCATCATATCCCAATCGATGCTCATGATGTCAATCACTGGATTGTCTGGTCCAGACCCGATTATTTACAGACCGCACTCATACAGCGTTGTTCGTCAAACAACGAAGACACATAAACCTTTGAAAGTCAATCATGACTTTCTGGTGGAATGTGGCATAAGAACTCACGATTAAGGGACGCAACTCTGCACAGGAAACCCACCCCCTGTTTGTCATGAGAAAAAATAGTTACCTAGTCTTCCACCGTACCCAGGACCTGGTGAATAAAATGTGCAAAATATTCATGATTTACAATACTTTGTTATTTTCAACCATAAGAATTTATCAAATGGGAGCTCTACTACAGACTAAATCAGCGTGAGTGAGTATGGTTTAATGCCGCTTTTAGCAATATTCCAGCATTATCACGGCGGGGGACACAAGAAATAGGCTTCACAGACTAAATCAGAGGCTGCTTCGTAGCAAGTTGATTGAGCAGCTTTGAACAGTACTTCAGTGATTGTGGAATAAAACCACACAAAAACAGAAGCTTGCAAAAAAAGTCTTTGGCAAAACCCCATGAACACTGATAGATCTGACCGATCAATGATTGTCGGATCTGAACCAAAGATAAAGGGACGCAACCCTGACCAGTGAACGTCTACTTTCAAGCCACAATGCCACCCCTGCTCCCTTGTGACGGAGGTGTCCCATGCATGTATGAGGGGTTATTCGGTGAACGTTACAATACTTACACGGAAATTTAAGCATAGTTCTCATTTGGTGCACATTGAACTTGAAGGAGAGACTGGCGAAATTGAGGTCTCTTCCTGCAGGCTTCTGTTATATTGACAACACAGTCCACGCTGTTGGTCAGTGACCTGAAGGACAAGAACATACGGACATCATATCTACGTGACGTGATATACAAACAATTGCTATATACTGATAGAAAGAAATAAGGGAACATCTACAGGCGGACATGTATCGCAGCACATCAAGAGAATTTTACAATAATACAACATGAGTTACTAACATTTTTATTTTTCGCTCTCACTCGTTTCATACGTTTTGAATAAACGTGTTGTTTTGAAAAGGGTATCTTCCCTGGATTCAAAGAGTTTTTCATTTATTTTATCAATATGTTCTGTTGTAAAAGGATTAAGTTTCTATATCTAATCATGTCAGTTTAGCTAACTGTGAGTGAGTTGGTTTTAACGCCGCTTGGAACAGTATTCCAGTTATATCAGGGCGTGTCAATTAAATGTTGGAGGAAAGTGATGCAGGTCTCAAACGTTTACCCCTTTGGTAAAACGGCACGGGTATAGTAATGGTAGCTAACCGGGATTCGAACCCACAATCATAGGTTTCTGATAGACACAAGGGACGCAACTCTGCAAAGCGAGTTGTGGAGCCTTCGCCGACTTGGACACCCGTTCCCCATATAATATATGTAAACATTTATGTGCAGGATCTCATATAATGATTAAACAGCTTTCAACTGCAGCTGTTAGCTCAGCCTGTGTGAGACCCTTGGTCGTGATCAGACAACATGCTTCATTTAGCTCACCTGGTAAGTAAAACCCTTCCCATATTCACACAACCTCTCGTACATTGTATGATTCTGACAATATCATGAAAATCACTGTCAAATAGGGATGATACCAAGTTTTCGCAAAAAGGTGAGCGTATCCTGCTCCACTGCTGGCACCCGTCACAAACACATGCAGAGACAAATCCATTGTTCACCTTATAAAACACGGAGCACAAGTCAAAATAGGGAAATGCATCGGACATCATTCTTGTCACTGATATCACATATCTACCAGTAAACATTTTGAAAGCTTCTCCTGAATCCTTGAATGATGTTACCTTGATCAAACAACTTTTGTAATGCTCTTTGAAATCTTCACTACTTTATATCTTAAAACAACAAGCATCATAATACATGATATATGTGCAAGTCTATGTGACTGTGAGATCTTTCGCTCACAAAATGACAGTTTGCATCAGTAAGCTCACCTGCACGCATCCGCCATATCCGTGGCGACTCCCCACGGAACATAGGGTATCAGATTGGTAAAGTCCTCTTGGCATGTCTGTAGAAGGGTCGGGAAGTCCTCGGGGCAGTCATCTGGCGCTTCAGTCGTGGTTGGCGCTTCAGTCGTGGTTGGTGCTGGAGTTGTTGCTTCTGTGGTCGTGGTTGGTGCTGGAGTTGTCACTTCACCTTGAATCGAGTTTAAATGTTAATATTGACACAATACCTCGTAGGTGAGTGACTTTAACGTCGCTTTTATCAGTATTCCAGTTATATCCCAGCAAACAACAAACAAACAAACAACCACATCTGTAAATAAAGCCACCTTCTGGCAATGTTTTGCTCTTCCTAAGCAAGCGGACAAAATAGCACGTACACATGGAGCACAAACGTCCACTCTGTCAAAATGTAATAGCTGTTATGTGGGATAATCATTGTAGTTGGTTGGTTGGTTGGTTGGTTGGTTGGTTGTTTAACGCTGCACTCAGCAATATTCAAGCTGTATGACGGTGGTCTGTAAATAATCGAGTCTGGACCAGACAATCCAGTGATTAATAGCATAAGCTTCAATCCACGCAATTTGGATCGATGACATGCATCAACCAAGTCAGCGAGCAAAGTCAAGCATAGTCGCCTGTTACGGCAAGCAGATAATCATTGTAATGTAAATATGACTGATCTATTGAAATTCCTATTGAAACCCCTTGAAGCGTTTACTGTGTTATCAGAAATGAAGACTTTACCTCAAAGACTCGGGTTCATGGCCCGGGTGAGCTAACAAGGAAAGTCATAAATTTCCTTGCTAGGTGAATACAAAGAAAGTTGTACATTTACTTGCCAAGGTGCGCTAACAAAAACAGTAGTACGTTTACTTGCTAAGGTCTGCTGACAAAGTGAGTGGAACATTCACTTGCCAAGAAAGTATATTCACTTACAAATCGAGGAGAAGTTTGAGGGCAGTGTGTCCAGGCTGAAGAGGGCGGAGTTCATAACACTTGGGCATCGGGCGATATGTTTTTGGAGACAGCCAATAGTCCTTCTTACCTGCCTAAAGCAAACAATAAGAACTTTACGTCATACATGATCAGCACTGTAATTTATATTGTTTGTTTGTTGTTTAACGCCGCACTCAGCAATATTCAAGCTATATGACGGCGGTCTGTAAATAATCGAGTCTGGACCAGGCAATCCAGTGATTAATATCATCAGCATCGATCCACGCAATTGGGATCGATGACATGCATCAACCAAGTCAGCGAGCCTGACCACCCGATCCCGTTAGTCGCCTTTTACGACAAGCAGAGTCACCTTTTACGGCAAGCATGGGTTGCTGAAGACCTATTCTACCCCGGAATCTTCACGGGTCTAATTAATATTGTGGTGGTATGGGTTTTTAGAAATAGTATTTACAATAAACAATGAGTTCATTACTTTAGACAGTTTTTAAAACAAAATAATTGGAAACTTGATGACCTGAACACTAGTGGTTTGTCTCCTCCTTTTTGAATAGGCAGAACCTTATTGACATATATCAATCTCATTAAAATCAGATCTTAGTCCTCGCTACCGCTAAACAAAGATCTGAGGACATCCCACTACGGGTCACGTCAGACCGACCTTTGGCGAACTCTGACCGAACAAACGAATTACTGACAAGAAGTTAATATTAGCCAATCAGAAGGCAGCTTTCTCGTGCTTTACGGGACTAATTTCAAATTGGCGACTACTCTTCGAAACATATTTTGACAAATTCTCGCTTAAAAATTTGAAACCTGAACAAAAGAACATTCTCGAATGGCTAATATATGGTCTAGATTGTACAGATTCAGTCGTTAAGCCCGTAACTATCGTTCGGAATACCCCGTTTTAAAGTTTTCGAGGCTGTATGTTTAGAAATCACATTCCGACTGTCACTTTCATAATCTGGTAAGCAACGCTCTGATTGGTCGGATGAAAGGTCGTTCTGACGTGAACCCTAATGGGATGTCCTCAGATCTTAGTTTAGCGGTAGCGAGAACTAAGATCTGATTTTAATGAGATTGTGACATATATGTGCATTATATTCCCATTAGGGGGTCATATAATATCAACTTAGAGACTTTATCAAGGGAAATGTGTATAAATGTCAATGTTTTTTAGTAAAACAAATACTCATAACAAATGCAATTAAAATATACTGTTGAAAATAGGCTAAAGTGGTAACCCATAGGCTTTCAAGTCTTTTGGGTGTTTTTTTTTCAATTTCAATTTAATACAATTCTGTCGAGTAGATTTTGTGTTCTCATTTTCATATGAAATGTTTGGTTATTTTTAACCGCCACGAGAGAAGCACTGCAGTGAATATTGTTTCTGTGTACAGTTAGAAGACTGAACAGTTTGTGAACTCATCTAGTCGTTATCAACACAACTACTGATACTTTTTAAGGTTTGTTTATTTGTTTAACGCCGCCCTCAGCAATATTCCAGCTATATGATGGCGGTCTGTAAAATAATCGAGTCTGGACCAGACAATTAAGTGATTGACATCATGAGCATCGATCCTAGCAATTGGGATCGATGACATGTATCAACCAAGACAGCGAGCCTGACCACCCGTACTATTTTAAGGAATAAAAATATTTGTTGGTCTAACGTCACGTTGTATTTACAATAAAAAATTATGTACTGATAGCTCAGATAACAACCCATCATCGTGGTGGATATGAGTAAGTGTGCTTTCAACAGTATTCCAGTTGCATCACAGTGTGTCGGCTCAATGTGGGAGGAAAGCCCGATTATGAGTGAGTGAGTGAGTGAGTTTGGTTTTACGCCGCTTTTAGCAATATTCCAGCAATATCACGGCGTGTCATCTTAATGTGGGAGGAAAGCCCGAAGTGATGCAGGTCTCAGACGTTTACGACTTCGGTGAAACCCACGAGCACGCGTATGTCAACGTGTAATGTTACCGGCAAGAAATAGGCGACTCGGAGAGAAGACTTTGAAGTCTGCGTGCGCATCTCTTAATGTTCCCCTTCCTTCTGGAGGAACAGGAAGTCCCCCTCTTCTTGTCTTCTTCCTCAGAATCTATGGCGTGACCTGGATCAGTAGGATGTCAATATAACACGATTAACAGATATCACAACACTGGTTGTGATGGATAGATCATTTTACACTGCTTTGAGTGAGTGAGTTGTGTTTAACGCCGCTTTTAACAGTATTCCAGTTATATCGCGGCGTGTCAGCTTAATGTGGGAGGAAAGCCCGAAGTGATGCAGGTCTCAGACGTTTACCACTTCGGTGAAACCCACGAACAAGGGTATGGTGCTGACAAACCTAGAAACATAATCGGGGCGAAGCGGGATTCGAACCCACAATCATAGGTTTCTGGCGTGCCCAGGGGACGCAACTCTGCACAGCGAATTGCGGCGCCTTAGACGACTGGGCCACCCGTGCCCCCTTTACACTGCTTAGAGCAGGACATGTCACAGCGTGTCAGTTTACCGTGTGAGGAAAGCCCGAGGTGATGCAGGTCAGAGACGCTACCACTACGATGACCATCGCTGGAACAGCATGAAACAATGATGTCATGATTTGTTTGCTATCATTTGTTTGGCACGGACATCATGGAGGTGTGAAAATATCACACCCCTATTAAACAATATCATGAATTGTATGCTATGATTTGAACACTGTGTGGCAATGACATCATTTGGGTGCGTGTGTGTGTGCGGGCGTGCTTGTACTAGTCTAGACTAACGCCAATTTTATAGTGCTAGCCCACTGAGACACCCTGCCGCAGTTTAACATTAATACCCCACTCAGGCACATAATACCCCAAGTTGATCAGTCCTTGCTTTAGCCCCTTAATACAGAGCGCTAGGCAGGGTAACAACAAGTGCCATCTTTTAGCGTCTTTTGGTATGACGCGGCCTGGGATCGAACCCCAAATCTTCCGCTCTCCTGGCAGGTGCTCTACCACTACACCAAGAGGGTGGTCAAATAATATTATTATACGCGGGGACTTGAATTCTTTTGTCTGCTGGAAAAGGACAGTGTCCGCCCAGCAATCGCTAATTAATTCGAAATATATCAGGAATCAGTGTCTAGGGTGGTACATATTGTACGCGATGAATCATTGTCCCAGGACAATGTAGATGCTACGAACATGGTTCCTGTTGGACAATGAGAACTTTTACGACAGCAAATCAGACTTTAATAAAATCAGAGATCCACGCCCTGATACGGCTGGAATAGTTCACGGGGGGGGGGGGGGGGGGGGGCGTAAAATATCATTCACTCGCTCACGTGTCAATAAAGCAAATGTATGTAAAGAGTAAGGCGTAATCTTGTAAACTCACATCTCTCGGAAACTGCTGCATCGCAGACAGATACGAATAATCCGAGCTTTTCATCTTCCGGGCAGGTGCCAACGACCTCATCCATACAATCCAGGGCCTGTCCCGCATCACTGGAGAAAACACATCTAGATAATCAGGCCTGCCAAGCACTAGTGGGGAATACATAACGTATCTTACATATCCAGGGCCTGCCTAGCACTAGTGGGGAAAACATAACGTATCTATATATCCTGGGCCTGCCCAACACTAGTGGGGAATACATAACGTATCTATATATCGGGGCCTGCCCAACACTAGTGGGGAATACATAACGTATCTATATATCGGGGCCTGCCCAGCACTAGTGGGGAATACATAACGTATCTATATATCGGGGCCTGCCCAACATCACTGTGATGCATGTTAATAAAGGATGGGCGAAGAATTCTGTGTAGTAATATACAGCAGTGAACAGTGTTATCTGTACCTAAATACAGGGGGTGGTAAAACCGACAGCATACTCTCATGCAGGCCATCTCGGAAACGGTGACCTTGAAGAAATATGTGTGGATCTCATGCATTAACGATCAGTACTTCTCGAATATATACATTGATACAAACAGGCCATATTTGGTCCTTCAACATTTCTTTCTTGATAAGAGCCTAACTGGCACAATTACAGAAAACGAGAGTTACGAGAGCAATTTTTTTGTCAATTTGAAATGCAATTATGATTTTGCTTGGTCAAAGATGATTTGTTCAATATTTGTTTGTTTTGTCTTTACATCCTCATATCATCACCATGGGTCGATGACTGGTTTATTTTCAGATATTAGAAACACACTTCCAGATCTATACAATGAGCTGTTTTAATCTCATCTACACGTTTAGCATTGTTACATAATGACAGGACTCTCGTTCATATGCGATAGCTTCCAAAAAGATTTCGAAAATGATTCCTCATATCACATCTTGTCCTTTCATTGTTGGTAAGTGCCAACAATATCTGGAGAGACAAAAGCACTTTCTGGCCATATTGGAAATAATGCCATTCTAATATATTTGCCGATTTATAACGAGGAAAAGGGAAACAAACAACAATCAACAACCCGCAGAACTGCAGCAACTTATCCGATGGAACACCGTGGCGATATGCACTCATAAACTTGACAGCACACTGATTCATCAGGTCCAGACCACTGAGAGCACAACTCTGGCCAGCACTCTGTCTGGCTGTAACAAAACGAAATAAGAACATAAGGCAGAAGGAAATCGTACAAAAGTACAGGCTGTAAGAAAACGAAATAAGAGTATCAGGCTGCAGAAAAAGTCAAAGGAATAACAGGTTGTTAGAAAACGAAATTAGAATATGAGGATGTAAGAAAACGAAATAAGAGTATCAGGCAGCAGAAAAGGTAAAAGGAATAACAGGCTGTAAGAAAACGCAAAATAATAACAGGCTGTAGAAACAAAAATATGAATATAAGGATGTAAGAAACCATACAAAGAATATCCGGCTGTAAGAGAACGAAAGAGGGATATCAGGCTGGAGGAAAACGAAATAAGAAAATCAGGCCGTAAGAAAACGTAAAAAGAATAAGAGGCTGTCAAAATCGAAATGAGAATAACAGGCTTTAAGAAAACGTGAAAAGAATATCAGTCATTAGGAAAACAAAATAGAGTACCAGGCCATAAGAAAATGAAATAAGAGCTCCATGTTTCTTTTTTATGATTTTATTATAATTATTATTGATTCACATGATAGTTGTATGTCCAAGAAAGTCGCATGACTCCTTGGGACAACCATGGCATTTGTGAACCTCCCTGGGCGTTGAATCCTCGCTGCTAATCTATGAAGCCGATGACTGCCCCCTGTTCACAACATGTGACATGTGACCTAACTACGTCACAATGGAATTTCCTCTTTGCACAGGACAACAATTTATGAATGAGACTGCAAGATTGTTTGCAAAACTGGATTTCTTTTGATATTTTCTCAGATTACTAACATGGTACGTCTTTTTATTTACCGGTAGGCGTACAATACAGTATACAGGTGGACACGCGACGATTCCGCGACATTTGAGAGTGAATACAAGATTGACAATGAGAGAGTACAAGCTTGAGAGTACATAGGCCGCCAGCAAGATGAAAAGGTATAGTTATGAGAGCAAAATGAGAGAGTCAAGTTGAGCTTATTGTTCTCGCAACTGTACTTTTCATCTAGTTCAAGAGCTATCAACAGCCATCCACCTTCCTAAGAGAAAGTCACATTCTCGTGTAGGCACATGATGATAGCACATGACAAACACCAACCCGTGAAGATCGAGGCTAGAATAGGTCTTCAGCGACTACACCTGTCACAAGAGGCGACTTACAGGGTCCCACATATCAGCTATTTTCATACATTGTAAAGACATTTGGTCAGAGTGGACGTTTGTGTTTCATGTATACATGCTATTTTGTCCGCTTGCTTAGGCAGTCTTATGGAAAAACAAAACATGGCCAAAAGGCGGCTTTTTTACAGATGTAGTAGTTTGTTTGTTTGTTGTTTGCTGCGATATGACCGCGGTGAATGCGACATAAAACACCAACAAACACGATATTATTGACTTTCCCTGTATGCAAAACAATGAAAAAATGTAAATTGATTATTTTGTTGAGGATTGTATTATGCATAAACATGAAACACATGATATAGGATATTATACATTTAATCATTCTAAACGATTACATGGGTACAATGTGTGAAGCCCATTTCTGGTGTCCCCGCCGTGATATTGCTGGAATATTGCTAAAAGCGGCGTAAAACCATACTGACTCACTCACTAAACGATGAGTAGCACAGCCCACATATTATTCTTATTTCATTCCAAGGTTGATTTTTCTGGCTTTGCCTGAAACACCCACCCACTCTCCATGTGAGCTAAATGTATTTATTCTTCTTCAAAAGGTCATATGTGGCTTGGATAATGACAGTCATTATTAATGTTTCAAATAAATCTAAAGCAATTATGGAGCGTTACAGTAACCTACGATGGCCATGGCCAGATTACAAATTGGAGCCGTGACTCATGCGCCCTGACCACCTGTGATGCTTACCATTTCCCCTATTTATTCTATTTACGATGGGATACGATGACATTCATCAACCGAATCCCCAAGCCTGTCCACCCGATCCCGTTAGTTGCCTCTTATGACAAGCGTTAGTTGCTGAAGATCAATTCTAACCCGGTCTTTTTTAATTAGCTGAGGGTAATTTTCGAGAAGAGATATTTTCTTCAAAACAAATCCAGGCCCCCAGAAACCTATATGCAAATTAAACGTAACAACAAAGTCGTCCAAGGCGCCGCACTCCGCTACCAGAAATCTATGATTGTGGGTTCGAATACCTGTTCGCCCCGATTTTGTTTCTAGGTTTGTCAGTACCAAACCCGTGCTCGCTCGTTTCACCAAAGTTGTAAACGTCTGAGACCTCCATCGTTTCACGCTTTTCTCCTACATGAAGGTGACACGCCATGATGTCACTGGAACACTGCTCAAAGCTGCGTTAACCCACCCGCTGGCTCACTCACTCTGAAGACACCAACTTACCCAAAACAGCCATGGTGAAGATAACCAAATAGGACGCCATGCTGTATGGAGTCTGTTACCTCCTCTTGTGTGCAGCAGAGCTTTCAGTGTCACTTGTGAGTGACATCCCTTATCAAATACTCGCATTATTCACTTATGCCTATAATTTGAGAAGTCGACATTCAGTCTGACATTAAAACCTTTGTCAGAAACAATTAGGAGGGTAGACTGACAAGTTAATTATCACATCAACAGCTTGGTGATACCTATCATTTTATCACAAGATTGTTGGATTTCCTAATATTTCAGAATTAGTGTGTCATTCGCAATGTTGTAATTTATCTAAATGGGTCATTGTTAATGGACTGATCTTTCTGATTCTAGTATTAGTTTATGAGTGGTAGGTGATGCCTTGCTTCCTATGGTTGACTTTGTCAAAGTAATTGTTGTTTGAAAAGTGTTGGGTTATTTTCTAGTTTCCTAAAGAGGAGATGTAGTCACAAATGTTACTGAATGTTACGACTAGGGGTTCAGCTGCGGGATCTCACAGATGTTGTCGGGGGGGGGGGGGGGGGGGGGGGGGGGGGGGTAGGGAGTCGAGGAAGGGGGTAGGGTGCGTGATACTTTGGTTAGAAGCCACTACCTGGGTAAGTTGCATGTATCTCCCAAAACGTTCACACACGCCCAAACTCCTACTTGCATATTAAGCTCTTACATACTTTGCTGCAATTTCGAGGCTCGATCGTATCGCCACCAGTGGCAAGTATGAGTTACGTCCCTTCTATGTCCCACCCATTGACCGGCAAATTTCCACCTCTCATATCACTTGCATTTGCTTCAAACAGTAACAAAATGGCTACGCCCAGTCATGACGATCTGATAATCAAGATCTTCATTGTATTAAAATGGTTTTTACAACGCGTAGTACATCAAATCACTTGAGCATCTTGATTAAAAAACATGAAAAGATTTGGACAACAAATGTCGACACCCTCTTGACGGTACACATGCAATTGACCAAAATCTGCACGGCAGTCGCAATGTTGTTTATGAACCGAATGTCGATTTTGATTGGGCAATGCATAGACTCGTAGTCCAGCCAAAATATAACTCAATAATTCTAGTCTAATTCGCCAAGGGTGGAAACTGGACGTTTACAGTCAGCTAACTCCCTTGCTACAAGAAGATGAGCCTTGTTAATGAATCGCTATTGTATAGTTTTCAGTTTGGTTTATAACAATTTCTTTATGATCAAACAGTTATCAGTTTATCAGACAACAACGTCTATCAAAATCCTTTTTAGCTATAATTGTTTAATAAGTTTGTATTATCTAACAAACTAAGATCCAAAGATGGAATTTGGAAGAAGGTTTCATAACAATAACAATCGATAACAACAAAAGATAAACAGAAATCTAATTGGAACTGCAAGAATACAACCTTCAGAAATTTCGGAAAGATGGCCAGCTACTCGAACGTATATTAAAGCGCATACAAAGAAATGTTATCAATTTAAAAAATAAAATCATATGATTATCAAAACTAAAATAGAAACTTCATCAAAACTGAAAATCCCAATAGATATGTGTACCCTACTTACACACAGAGACATAGTCCCAAAGAGAGATAGGTCAGCCGAAATTGCTAAAACAGAAGGCAACCTCTTTAACACAAGGGGACGTCACAACTGCTACTTGATGGCCACCTGTACAACACGAACGTTGCCAGACAAGGGTGCTTCTTCCACTTTGGCCATGCACTTTGGCGGAACACGCACGACCTTGGCCTCGCTGTTCAGTACAAGGATGATGTACAAGTACTGAGGTAGATATGAAGAGCTGGTGGTCTCGCTAGTCTTAATGGGGATGTGGTCCAGGACCCGTGGATGGATGACTTGGGATCAATGCCTGAGATCGCCACCAACATCAATGACAACATGGCCGTCAACTGGGTGGACGATGATACACGATTCCCCAGACAACGATGGAATCACCACCCAACTAATGGGTCACGCACCAACCACCATCCGGAGAGATTCAACAACCGCCCCAACAAGACTCTGCCACATCGTCACCAGAAATCCTCCGTTTCCCGGAGGTCATCAAGAAGATCGAGACAGCTGACTGGGTGAAAATGGTCCAGATAGACATTGGTGCGGCTCCACCTAGTAGCAATAGATCTGAGAATGGGATGTTCTCATGTTTGGCTCAGGAATGACAAGAGCCTGACAAGGAATGAAAATAGCCATCATTGATTGCTTTCTTAGATGCTGTCGGCCGCTATTGTTACGAGTAGATTCCCAAAATTGAAACTCGAAGGTTAACCCCCAAATCGGTTCTTACATAACTAAATTGTGGAATCAGTTTTGTTTGTTTGTTGTTTTACACCACACTCAGCAATATTCCAGCAACATGACAGCCGTCTGTAAATAATCGAGTCTGGACCAGCCAATCCAGTGGTTGACATCATGACCATCGATCCACGCAATTGGGACTGATGACATACATCAACCAAGATGCGAGCCTGACCACCCGATCCCGTTATAGTCGCCTTTTACGACGAGCATAGTTGCCTGTTACGGCAAGCATGGGTTGCTGAAGACCTGTTCTACCCCGGATCTTCACGGGTTTGTGGAATCAGTAAATAACTACACAAGATCAATGAACAATCAACAACTCTCATTGAAACACGTACACGGGATTTGGTTTAAGACAATGGCTTAAACATGTGATACAATGACAGCTGCTGTATTCAATAATAGGCCCTATTTCAAAAGGCAGTGCACTCACGAATGTCCAGTATCTGTCATACTTGAATGTCTCGAGTGAGGCACGTGCTCCGTTCTTCAATCCATCGGAGGATCAGGAATCAATATCAAACAGTGTCAAAAGCAGGCAGAAACGTCGGTGTTTTCCTATAAGTATCTGGTCCGCAGTGGACAAGTAGAAAGATGCAAGTCAGGTGGTAGAATGATAGGCCTCGAATCATCCTCGTGTCGCTCATATATCATGTGTTACGCAAGGATATAAATGTCTCGTCTGAATTGTCTTTCTTCCACAACTGTAAACAAGGTAATAGACAAGCTCCTCACAGCGGAGCTGTCCATTCTGATAGGTTACGAAGGTCATCAAGCACTGGGATGGAGTTTGGACATTAACACTAAGGAAGGTAATGCTAAATCGCGATCTGCCGTGGACCGCTGGAAAAAAACACCTGGCCACACCAACAAGAAACTTCATGTTTTACCGCCGCCCTATAGCTGGAATATTGATGAGTGCGGTGTAAAGAACAAACAAATAAACAAACAGAATGTATATTTTCAGGAGTTTTCCGTGAGAAAGCTGTTCGGTGTCAGTTGTCATTATCCTTGGTTAGAATAGGTCTTCAGCAACCCATGCTTGTCGTAAGAGGCAACTAACGGGATCAGGTGGTGAGGCTCACTGACTTGGTTGATACATGTCATCGTATCCCAGTATTGCGTAGACCAATGCTCATGATGTCAATCAATGGTATGTCTGGCCCAGACTCGATTATCTTCAGACCGCCGTCATATAGCTGGAATATTGGTGTTAGTGCGGCGTTAGAAAATAAACAAACAAACAAGTTATAAAAAAGAATAATTCGTTTACTCGATATACTGGGTGTTCTGCATTGTTGTCATTTTTTTTCCAGAGGATAGTTTGTTTCGACCCTGTATAAGGACGAAGCGTTTTGGTCAGGGCATCTGATGATCAGGGTGGAAATCAGATATGTGGTGTTGTTAGGGTGGAAGGTTGAGGGTCAGGTGCGCCCCAAGTGTTGCTCCATTCTCACGGATATTGTGTCGGTGTTTAACACGAATAAAGCTTTCGATGTCTTGGAGAAATTGACTTGACTTTGAAGAAAGTTTGAAAAGCAGGGTTTTCTTGAATATATAGTACCATGCTCTGTTCTTATTTGGATGTCTGATGTACCATACACATTATGTGTTTTCCTCTTCGTTTTCAACACAGTATGTTCGGGGGAGGTTGGGTAACCGTGTGGTTAAAGTGTCTGTCGTCACGCCGAAGACCCAACGGGTGTGACATGTGAAGCCAAGTTCTGATACCCCCCGCCGTAATGATGCTGGAATATTGCTATAAACAGCGTTCTGACTTTACTTTCTCAATCCCTCACTCACCTCTCCCAATACCTCCTGTTGTCCTCAATACCTCGATACATTACTAACTTCGGATATTACGAACTCTTTGGGACCTGGCAGATCCGTTCGTTAGTTATTCATTTGACCATTAACGTTATTTTGGAGTTAGAATGGCAGTATGTGAATCCCATGTGTAGTGTCCTCCACCGTGATTTTCCTGTAGTATGGCGTTAAGAGGCGGTGGGGTAGCCTAGTGGTTGAAGCGTTCGCTTGTTACGCGAAGACACGGGTTCTATTCCACATATGGTCACACACACTTTAAAAATCGCGTAAAACAATAGTGGCCCACCATTGCCCACTGAACACAAACATGCAGCTGCTATCAAACACTCTCGCAGACCATGTCAAGCACCCGCTTCTGGCTTTGTTGTCACGATTGTACCGTTAAATCCCAAAGTAGAACGCCATCCACTATCTAATGGCGGGGCCGGTGATCAAACCACTGGCCTTCCGCTCTCCTGGCTTAACATCTATCCACAAGACCACGGAGGCCGTCATTAATCACAAACAAAACAACTTGGTATTCAGTGACCATCTCTATTTAATCATTTGAAAAGCGGGTATGCACACGGACAAAGAAACTAAATTGAATGATTGCTGCTGCATGGCATCATGAATATGCATTGCATCACTGTAGATTACCAGGAACAACTGTTGTTCTATGCTTGACCTGTGGAAACAAAAGAATTGTTTTGAACCCGGCACGACCCTGTTGATGATACATTTATTCTTTGTGTAAAAAACGAGTCAAAACAAAATCGTCTTTTTTACAAACAAATACTCACATATGGACATCAGGGCTTGTCTTGCCTGGTCAAATTGCATCTCACGTAACAGAGGCCCTAGTCTGCTGCCACAAGTGGCCATCAGGTCGTCTACACAACTGAACGTTCTCCGGGCCATACTAGAAGGAAACCCATACCATTGGTTGAATATATATATCATAAGATCAATTAAATGTATCACTCGAAGCATGCACCACGGACACTTAATGCCTTTGGACTCCGACTGAGATGCTTTTTGACGGAAGCTGCAGGCGGTTGAAGGTGAAGGCTAAATAGAATCAGGGGGAGAAGCGGTTCAGACCGTATCCGCACACAAACTGCAAGGTGAATTCCCCGAAGTGACATCACCATGGAGATATCCCCCAAATAGTGTCAGGAGGAGAGCCATCATGCCGTGGAAGGTGTGGTGAAGCTAGATGAGTTGGAGCTAGGGCATCCGTTTTGTAAGTGAGTGTATAACAGTATTATTCCAGTGTGTCGGCTTAATGTGACGCAGCTCTCGGAGTTTACCACATTGGTAAAACCCAAGAGTATGGGCATGGTGCTGACAAACCTAGAAACATAAAGGGGACGACCCTGACTTACACACATGACATACACGTCCCTGACTTATACCAGCTCTCAACTTACCTGCACCTGACGGATGTGTCTTCGATGTTTACACCACTATTCATCGGTGTTACGCAATCCATTATCTGCTGTTGGAAGTTCGACGGACATCCTATGGGCATTAAACAGTCGATAAAGTTTGTGTAAAAATATTGATATAGGGTACTGGATTTCGGTAAGTGACTTCGATGAGATGATTGCACTTTGCTGTGAATGCATTTAGTACGTTTTCGAAGTGCTGTATTGTCACAGAAAGCAAAATAAAATAAAATCCTTTTCATGAAAAGGGAATCTCCGCGAATACGTTGATTTTAATGCCAACAAAAACGGATGTTCTGTATACAAACAAAGAATCATTGTCGAATATAACGTGGGTTCCGAGCTAAGGGACGCAACTCTTCATGAGTAACCTCATATGTGATGAGAAGGGTGGAAACCACACTTACCGTCTCCTCCGCCATTGCTCGGACCTGGTTGATAAAGAGTGTAAATATTATTGCAATCGTGCGTACAACATATTTGTATAGAATTTTGCACCACATATAAAATGATATCAGTTAAAGGTTATTTGGAGTGAGTGAATATGTTAATGTGGCCTTAAGGTCGTATTTCAGAGATATTATGGTATGTCAATTTTGTTGTTGGACATAGTCACACAAACAGAAGTTTACACTTTGGCTTAACCCTAAGAACGTATGTGGTGTTGACAAACCAATGACCATAGGGTCCTGTCATGTCTAAGGGAGATAATTCTGTAACTTGAATTGCCTCGTTCAGACACTAACCCGTGCCAGTTGTGAGTGTTCTCCATGTGAAAGGAAGGCTTATACATTATTAGAGGAAACCGAAATACATGTACTTACATATGAAGCTTGCCTGGGTTCTGATTTGGTCCACATTGAACAAGTGGGCCATGCTGGCAAATTGAGGGTTATCCCGACAGTCTTCGGTTAAGTTGGAGACACGGTCCAAGCTGTTTGTCAGAGAACTGAAGGAGGATAGACAAATAGCTGCTCACGTGCATACAAATAGTTCGTGTATACAGATAGAAAGGATTAAGAGAACGGGTTCTGGGATTAAATATAAATCTGTTCCTGAAAGTGCTAAAAAAATATAATTTGTTCTCAAGTTTTACCAAACGAAATAAATCTGGGCATGCTGGTTGTCCTGAAGCCATTGGGACCCCCTTGAGTATGATTTGAAGCACTAACTAATTTCAAAAAGAATCCTTCACCTGCACGCATAGGTTTGAGCCGTCATTTCTGATTTCTAATACCATCTCACCTTCACACCTGTTTGACACAAGTGTCTCCAGGTGACACATTTTCCTATTAGCTCACCAGCACGCCTGCGTGAGATCCGTGGCTTCAGATCAGACATTTTCACCTGTTAGCTCACCTGCACTCCTGTGTGAGATCCGTGGCTTCACACCAGATACCTTTCACCTGTAAGCTCACATGCACGTCTGAGTGAGATCCGTGGCTTCAGATCAGACATTTTCACCTGTTAACTCACCTGCACGTCTGAGTGAGATCCGTGGCTTCACAGCAGAAAACTTTCACCTGTTAGCTCACCTGCACTCCTGTGTGAGATCCGTGGCTTCACAGCAGAAAACTTTCACCTATTACCTCACCTGCACGCCTGGGTGAGATCCGTGGCTTCAGATCAGATATTTTCACCTGTTAGCTCACCTGCACTCCTGTGTGAGATCCCTGGCTTCAGATCAGACATTTTCACCTGTTCGTTCACCTGCACTCCTGTGTGAGATCCGTGGCTTCACAGCAGATAACTTTCAGCTGCTACCTCACCTGCATGTCTGAGTGAGATCCGTGGCTTCACAGCAGATAACTTTCACCTGTTAGCTCACCTGCAATCCTGTGTGAGATCCGTGGCTTCAGAGCAGATAACTTTCACCTGTTACCTCACCTGCAAGTCTCAGTGAGATCCGTGGCTTCACATCAGTTAACTTTCACCTGTTACCTCACCTGCACGTCTGAGTGAGATCCGTGGATTCCGATCAGACAACTTTCACCTGTTAGCTCACCTGCACATCTGAGTGAGATCTGTGGCTTCATATCAGACACCTTTCACCTGTTAGCTCACCTGCACACCCGTGTGAGATCCATGGCTTCATAACAGACAACTTTCACCTGTTACCTCACCTGTACGTCTGAGTGAGATCTGTGGCTTCATATCAGGCACCTTTTACCTGTTAGCTCACCTGCATGTCTGAGTGAGATCTGTGGCTTCATATCAGGCACCTTTCACCTGTTAGCTCACCTGCACACCCGTGTGAGATCCGTGGCTTCATATCAGACAACTTTCACCTGTTAGCTCACCTGCACGCCTGTGTGCGATCCGCGGCTCCCGATGACAGAGCCTGCATCTGGGCGCTTATGTCCCCAACACTTGTTTGTATTGACATCATGAAGTCGTCCGGGCAGATGCCTTGTGCTTGCGTAGTCGTGACTGGTGCCAGGGTGGTTGGGGGTGCTCTGGTGAATGATGGTTCTTCACCTAGATGTTCGTTATGAAGGTGACATTGACATACCAACTTAACACAGTACATGCCATAATGGTTCACCTGTGAACAGGTAGTGAAACAAAAACAGAAATGGCTGAGTGAGTGAACCGGTGAGTTGATGCTTGAGTGAGTGAGTGAGTGAGTGAGTGAGTGAAGAAATTGGTAGTTGAGTGAGATGTTAGAAAAGGCCATTGGTTTAGTGTGTGAGTGAGTGGTTGAGTGAGTAAGTGTGTTGGATGATAGGTGATAGGTGGATGGTTGTGTTGCTGGGTTGTTGGTTGGGTGTGTGAATGGGTGTGTTTGCTGGGTGGGTAAGTGAGTACGTATTTATTATCATTTTTTCAAAGTTGCCGCAATTCGCTGTGCAGAGTTGCGCCCCTTGGACACGCTGGAAACCTATGATTGAGGTTCGAATCCCGGTCCGCCCCGATTGTGTTTCCAGGCACCATACCCGTGCTCGTGGGTTTCACCAAAATGGTAAACGTCTAAGACCTGCATCATTTTGGGCTTTCCTCCCACATTTAGTTGACGCACTGTGATATAACTGTAACTGTTCCAAGGTGCGTTAAACCCAACTCACTCACTCATACTGAAACCGCTTAAAGAGGTTATTAGTGGGGGGATTCACTTTAAAAATGCTCATGTTCGATGCCCAGGTGAGCTAACATAGAAAATGTACATTCACTTACACATCTCCGAAAGATTTGTCATCATGTTCGTGATGGCTCTGTCGGCTGAACCTGGGCAACGTGCTATGTTTTTTCGGAGACATCGCACTGTTCTTCCTACTCTCCTAAAACCGTCAAAAGGAAAATTTATACAAACATGAACGATTTCGTAATGTTTTATTATATTTTTAGGAAAAAGAATAGTTTATTCTAGAAAATACTGATAAAAATAATTTGGTATTATATTTCACAAATAAAGAAATATTTCTTCAATCTATGTTCTAAAACAGGATTCATCAGGAGATGACATATCTCCCCCATCTGGTGCAATTCGGATGTGGCGTTTGGCTCCTTATACCCCGTTTTTGGCTTATTGCATTGGGATACCTTCAGTTCAGTGAAGAAAAAGACAATATTGTTCAGTATTTTTGAAAATCGCAAATCATCAAAAGGCAACCAGTTCCCCACCAGACTGGTCTGTTCATAAAGAAATATTCAACAGTTTTGAAGTTCTGCAACGGAAACAGAACACGGACGGATGGAAGGATGAAGAGACATGTTGTTCGCTATATTCCCCGTTTTACAAATGTCTTTGAAGTCCGCAAAATTGGGTTTCACCTAACCTATCACTCCTGCATCACTGTGGCCTTTCCTCCTATTTTAACTGACACGCCGATATATAACTAAGACACTGATAAAAGCGGCGCTAAACCAAACTCACTCACCCATTCTAAAAACAGCCACGAGATGCTGATAAATAGCAAGAACGTGTTGTATTACCTGCAACGAAGGTTACTGAGGGAGGAGGAAAGACGGCGGAGTCTGCGAGCGCATCTCCGAATGAGCCCCCTCCTTCTGGAAGAACAACCAGTCCCTCTCTTTGTGTCTTCTTCCTCAGAATCTATCTCCTCACCTGCATCAGGAGGATGACAATATAACATGATTAACAGATATAACACGACTGAGTGAGATGGATAAGCATTTAACTCCGCTTTGAACAGTATTTCAGTTATATCACACCGTTTTATCTACCCGTGCTTCCCGCCTTATATACTACTCAGAAGAAGTTAGGGAGCTTCCTTTTCTTTCAAATAACTATAGTTAATATGGCATGGCATGGCATGAAAGAGTGGGAGGGGGTGACTGGGATTTTATTTTTAAAAAATATATTGTGCCCGAAAATTCTTGAAAAATGATAGGCTCCAGACTGTTGAAAAACAAGACTGTTTTTCTTTCCAACACCAGGCTCATAGTTAAACTATAAAAATTGTAGCTGAACCTGGTCGGTCCCTGAGGATGGCGCTGATACAGCTGGAATAGCTTACTGCGGTGCAAAATAACATTCATTCGCTCACTCTTCGTCTCATTAAAGCAGATTTATATATAGGAGCAAAGCTTCATCTTGTTTACTCACATATATCGGAAACTCCGTCATCATAGATAGATACAACTGATCCGATCCTTTCATCTTCCGGACAGGTGGCAACGACTTCATCCATACAATCCAGGGCCTGACCAGCGTCACTGCGGAAAACAAATCACATCTAGATATTCAGGCCTGCCAAGCATCACTGGGGAAAACGTAACTCTTCTATATAGGCAGGGCCTGTCCGGCATCACTGGGGAAAACGTAACTCATCTATATAGCCAGGGCCTGTCCGCCATCACTGGGGAAAACGTAACTCTTCTATATAGGCAGGGCCTGTCCGCCATCACTGGGGGAAACGTAACTCTTCTATATATCCAAGGCCTGTCCGCCATCACTGGGGAAAACGTAACTCTTCTATATAGGCAGGGCCTGTCCGGAATCACTGGGGAAAACGTAACTCTTCTATATATCCAAGGCCTGTCCGCCATCACTGGGGAAAACGTAACTCATGTATATAGGCAGGGCCTGTCCGGCATCACTGGGGAAAACGTAACTCTTCTATATAGCAAGGGCCTGTCCGGCATCACTGGGGAAAACGTAACTCATCTATATAGCCAGGGCCTGTCCGGTATCACTGGGGAAAACGTAACTCATCTATTTAGCCAGGGCCTGTCTGGCATTACTGGGGAAAACGTAACTCATGTATATAGCCAGGGCCTGTCTGGCATTACTGGGGAAATAGTAACTCATGTATATAGCCAGGGCCTGTCTGGCATTACTGGGGAAATAGTAACTCATCTATATAGCCAGGGCCTGTCTGGCATTACTGGGGAAATAGTAACTCATCTATATAGCCAGGGCCTGTCTGTCATTACTGGGGAAATAGTAACTCATCTATATAGCCAGGGCCTGTGTGGCATTACTGGGGAAAACGTAATATATCTATATAGCCAGGGCCTGTCTTGCATTACTGGGGAAATAGTAACTCATCTATATAGCCAGGGCCTGTCCGGTATCACTGGGGAAAACGTAACTCATCTATTTAGCCAGGGCCTGTCTGGCATTACTGGGGAAATAGTAACTCATGTATATAGCCAGGGCCTGTCTGTCATTACTGGGGAAATAGTAACTCATCTATATAGCCAGGGTCTGTGTGGCATTACTGGGGAAAACGTAATATATCTATATAGCCAGGGCCTGTCTTGCATTACTGGGGAAATAGTAACTCATCTATATAGCCAGGGCCTGTCCGGTATCACTGGGGAAAACGTAACTCATCTATTTAGCCAGGGCCTGTCTGGCATTACTGGGGAAAACGTAACTCATGTATATAGCCAGGGCCTGTCTGGCATTACTGGGGAAATAGTAACTCATGTATATAGCCAGGGCCTGTCTGGCATTACTGGGGAAATAGTAACTCATCTATATAGCCAGGGCCTGTCTGGCATTACTGGGGAAATAGTAACTCATCTATATAGCCAGGGCCTGTCTGTCATTACTGGGGAAATAGTAACTCATCTATATAGCCAGGGCCTGTGTGGCATTACTGGGGAAAACGTAATATATCTATATAGCCAGGGCCTGTCTGGCATTACTGGGGAAATAGTAACTCATCTATATAGCCAGGGCCTGTCCGGTATCACTGGGGAAAACGTAACTCATCTATTTAGCCAGGGCCTGTCTGGCATTACTGGGGAAAACGTAACTCATCTATATAGCCAGGGCCTGTCTGGCATTACTGGGGAAATAGTAACTCATGTATATAGCCAGGGCCTGTCTGGCATTACTGGGGAAATAGTAACTCATCTATATAGCCAGGGCCTGTCTGGCATTACTGGGGAAAACGTAACTCATCTATATAGCCAGGGCCTGTCTGTCATTACTGGGGAAATAGTAACTTATCTATATAGCCAGGGCCTGTGTGGCATTACTGGGGAAAACGTAATATATCTATATAGCCAGGGCCTGTCTGGCATTACTGGGGAAATAGTAACTCATCTATATAGCCAGGCCCTGCCTGGCATTACTGGAAAAAACGTAACTCATCTATATAGCCAGGGCCTGTCTGGCATTACTGGGGAAATAGTAACTCATCTATATAGCCAGGGCCTGTCTGGCATTACTGGGGAAATAGTAACTCATCTATATAGCCAAGGCCTGTCTTGCATTACTGGGGAAATAGTAACTCATCTATATAGCCAGGGCCTGTCTGGCATTACTGGGGAAAGAGTAACTCATCTATATAGCCAGGGCCTGTCTGGCATTACTGGAGAAAACGTAACTCATCTATATAGCCAGGGCCTGTCTGGCATTACTGGGGAAATAGTAACTCATCTATATAGCCAGGGCCTGTCTGGCATTACTGGGGAAATAGTAACTCATCTATATAGCCAAGGTCCGGCATTACTGGGGAAATAGTAACTCATCTATATAGCCAGGGCCTGTCTGGCATTACTGGGGAAATAGTAACTCATCTATATAGCCAGGGCCTGTCCGGTATTACTGGGGAAAACGTAACTCATCTATATAGCCAGGGCCTGTCTGGCATTTCTTGGGAAAACGTAACTCATCTATATAGCCAGGGCCTGTCTGGCATTACTGGGGAAATAGTAACTCATCTATATAAGCAGGGCCTGTCTGGCATTACTGGGGAAAACGTAACTCATCTATATAGCCAGGGCCTGTCCGGTATTACTGGGGAAAACGTAACTCATCTATATAGCCAGGGCCTGTCTGGCATTACTGGGGAAAACGTAACTCATCTATATAGCCAGGGCCTGTCTGGCATTACTGGGGAAAACGTAACTCTTCTTTATATCCAAGGCCTGCTCAACATTTGTTGAGAATGCATAACACATCCATCTAAATCAAGGGTCTGCTAAATATTACTGGGGAAAACTTCCACATCTATATATACTTAACATCAGCTTGTGGACACATTTTAGCTTTACATCTACATTTAGAATTGTGACAAGTAAAGGAATGTGGAAAAGTCGAAGGACTAACTCTCCTTCATATCAATATTCATGATTACTAGAAAAAACGATTTCTAAAACGATTCTGAAATTATGGAGATCTTAATTAAAATGGTGTCATTTCTTTATTCTTTAAATAGTTCGTCCTTTCCTAAGTGATAAGTGCTAAAATGTTTCAAAAGGAAGACATGTAATATTTGCGCGACCATATTGAAAATAATGAGAAACAAATATATCTGCTGAGCTTTGATGAGAAAAAAGGGAAACAAACAACCTGCAGAACTGTGGCAACCGATCCCATGGAACACCCTGGCGATGTGCACTCATATGCTGGACAGCACACTGCTCTATCAGGCCCATGCCACAAGTCTGGCCTTCATTCACTCTGGCTGTTGGAAAACGAAAGTAGAATATCATGTAAGCTAAATATCAAGATGCAAGTAATTCCAAGAAAGTCTCATTACTTTAAGACTCTTTGTAACCGCATAGGCATTCACGAGGAACTCTGGGTGAATTTAATCCCCTGTGAGATCATCGGGAGATGAAGAAATATTGATCAATGCTCACTATACCCGCATTTGTAGTACACCTGCATTGTAAAGTTCTGTCTTCACATCTTAGCAGAGTCCCAGGATATAACTGAAAGATTGTTCAAAACATTATACCTCACTCAGAGTTGATACGATTTATGAAAATGTGGATAGTAAGCTTTTTTATGTTTCAGCCACGTTTTGATTCTCACATCCGTATCAAGTGAGTGAGTGAGTATGGTTTTACGCCGCTTTTAGCAATATTCCAGCAATATCACGGCGGGGGACACCAGAAATGGGCTTCACACATTGTACCCATGTCGGGAATCGAACCCGGGTCTTCGGCGTGACGAGCGAACGCTTTAACCATTAGGCTACCCGACCGCCCCTCATCCGTATCAAGAGCTGTACATGTAGCTGTACAACTTAGTAGATGAGGATATATGTGCAGGTGGCATAAGTCCACACGTCGGGGAACAAATAACCCGCATTTGGAATTTGGAAAAGTGCTTTGTATAAATGTATAATATAATGTATATGAAAATAAGGTATTTGATTACTGAACACTATGGAATCCTGAGTTCCTATACACAGTGCATGAACTGAGTGTAAAGGAAGCCATCGAGGAATACCCAAAGGCTGGACGACCTGCAGGAACACGTGACCTCAATACGTCACAATACGTCTTTTACAATCAGTAATAGTTATTTTCAGCATTAAACGCACTGAACACAGCCCTTGTTGGGGGTATTTATACACAAGACAAGAAAGGTTGCATTGTCAAATCTCGATGTTGAGTTGAACATCGGTTTCAAGCAATTGTTGAAGGTGAGGGATATATGATACATTAGAATATGCCCACATGTAGCATAATTATATGGCAGTTGGTAACCTGGCATTAAGCTTCTTAACGCAAGTTATGAATCGATGAGTGTGGAATCAAACATGTAAACAGAAGTCATAAGATCTGTGTGTTAGTTTAACGCCACATACGGTTATCACAGCTATGTGACAGGGATCGGTAAATAATCAACTGGAACAGACAATTCAATGATTGATATCATGAGCAATTGCGAAATACGCAATTGGGATACGATAACATGCAACAACCAAGTCACAGAGCCTAACCATCCAATCCTGTTAGTCACTCTTACGACAAGCATGGTCGTGAAGGCCAATTCACCTGGAAGAAGCACTAGAATTGAGTGAGTGAGTGAACATGGTTTTACGCCGCTTTTAGCAATATTCCAGCAATATCACGGCGGGGGACACCAGAAATGGGCTTCACACATTGTACCCATGTCGGGAATCGAACCCGGGTCTTCGGCGTGACGAGCGAACGCTTTAACCACTAGGCTACCCGACCGCCCCAGAAGCACTAGAAAGAAGAATTGATTCCCAAAAAGTCTCTTGCGAATATCTTTTGTCATAGTTTTGTTTACAGATAACGAGAGACGGGAACTTGAGCACGTAGTTTCACCCTGATCGTATTCACTAACCATTTCCTGTATATAATTTCTTTCCTCCAATCATGTACAGATGTTGCAATTTCCAGGGGCTATCAGGGTGAGTTGACTCCGCTGAGCACAGTAGTTATAGCGACAGCTTAACCCAACCAATCCCAACAACACTGAATGAAAATTGCGACAATGACAAACGGGCATCTCTGTTATTTGGGAAGTTCGGGGTCGATGCATCCTTGGTCGTTGTAGCAGACATAACTACCACCTTTGAAAAACAAACTTTCTACGACTTTATGTCATTCTCTCAGCAATAAGAAAGTATAAATAGCTTCGTACCACTATATCATTATTTGATTCCAGCCAACTGTTCAAGCTTCCTTTCATCAATCTACACGCCTTGTTCACTCGCAATGAGCACATTTGGTAATTTGGTAATAATAGCCCTGATTCCTTCTATTCGTACGTATTGTTTGTCAATTCATACAGAACTGACAAGGTAACAAAACGTACCGGGATGTAACTATTATTAGAAAAAAACAAAACCAGTGCGTACTTCGATCTACTGTCTTATTTCAAGAAGATTTCTGATTCATAGTTTTTGCAGAAACCTCAGGTGAATCAATGCTAATATTATTAAATTGTTCTGGAATTTGCTTAACATCTGAGAAATGTAAAAATATGTTGCTAAGTTAACTCTAGTTGTTCTATTTTCTTTCAGATACATTGTATGTACATCAGAAAAAACCCATTCAATTTAAATATTTACATCAATATTGCAGTAATTTATTATGTGAATGAATGCTTTTAAAATGTGAAATCTGCTTCATTTAGGAAAGGATATTTTAAAAGATGTTTGTCATCCTAATTCAAAAAAGATTAAAAAAACATATTTAAGATACTATCCAGATCTAAATCTGTGTAGAAAATATTTCCCTTGATCGTAAATTTACAATGTAGTATTCGGTTCTCCTTGCCCGAGGCTGCATGTTTGTTTTAAAAATAGAATTTTATAAGTAAGTTTGAAGCTGATTTAAACCTTTGTTTTATGCAGCATATATGACTTGAAAAGGGTTTATGGTAAGAAATGATTTTAATTCGTGATGGTTGCTTTTAAATCCACATGCGCTCCCCTTCACTACAATGCGTTTAGATTCAAGTTTCGGTTTCATCTTGCTCTCTGGGGGCGGTCGGGTAGCCAAGTGGTTAAAGCGTTCGCTCGTCACGCCGAAGATCCGGGTTCGATTCACAATGTGTGAAGCCTATTTCTGGTGTATATTGCTGGAATATTGCTAAAAACGGCGTAAAGCCATACTCACTCACTCGTTTGCTCTCAACCAGATTTGTCAAATATTTGATATACCCGGAAAGGCAAAAGATACGTCGCTTCTGAAAATACTAATAAAACTTAACAGACACTGGCAGTTACATGTTCTGTGGTCAATAAACTCATTTAACGTTCTACTGCTTCTTTTTGTTGCCTTAAGGTCCACTTAACAATTGAGTTTAAAATGAAGTGCTTTGCCCAAACGCAGCCTACAAAAGTGCAATGGGACTCAGTTGCGGACAAGTCTTGTCAAAAACATGATGCACGTGCATATCGTGGATGGTATAGGTATAAAAGACGCCCAAAACTGCGAAGCTGGCTTTCGTTATTTCAATTCATCAGCCATGCCAAGATTCTAAAGGAAATGAGAGACAACAAGCGATCGGAAGACTGCAAGCAGGCCAGAGTGCACAGGTCGTTACAAATGCATTCAATGTCAACGTCAGAACGATATATCGTTTGCAACATCGCCACAACACCACCAACACCACCAACGACCAACCGCGTCGTGGTCGTCCTAGAGTCACTACTCCCAGACAAGATCGGTTCATGATACCCCAACATCTGCAGAACCGATTCCGAATGGCCACTGAAACAGTTCGGCAAACCATTGGCAACCACCAGCGTGTCATCAGTGATCGTACAGTCCGACGTCGCCTAACTGCCAACAACATCTCGTGCCACCGTCCTGCTCGTGTACCCATCCTGAGAGATCGTCACCGACAGGCCCGACTGCAATGAGCCAGACAGCAAGCATCAAAATTGACGTCAACAGCAATGGAGAAGAATCATCTTCACTGATGAAAGTCGCCACTGTGTTTCAGCGAGCGTTATGCTGATGCTTGTTTTATGGAACGAGACCCGTGGGGCGGCCCAAGCATCATGGTTTGGGGTGGAATCGGACTGAACCAGAGAGTGGGACCTGTGGTCTTTCAGAATATTGGTCCTGGCAGGGGTAATGACATCACAGCTCTCCGCTACATTGACCAAGTCCTCAGACCCCATATCGTGCCTTTTTTGCCCGTCATCAAAACCACACCTTTCAGCAAGACAACGCCTGTCCCCACACTGCCAGAGTCACCGGGGACTTCCTCCAGCAGCACAACATCCAAATCATGCCTTGGCCTGCCCTCAGTCCGCATTTGAATCCCATTGAACACTTGTGGGATGAGATCCAACGCCGACTGAACGACGTCCGCCCAAGGCCGACAACTGCAGCAGAACTGCGTGTAGCGTTTCTGAGGATATGGGCCCTTATCCCAATGGCCTTCATCAACAGGCTAGTCCACTCCACGCCCGTGGTGGACACACCAGGTACTGATTTTGAACCCCCCAGCTGTGATGAATTTTGGTGCCTCTCCAACTTCACAATTCGCAAAAACATTCCCCAGACTGTTAACTTCATGTGGGTCAAACACTGACTTTCTCCGATGTCTTTATAAGCATTTAAAAATAAAAGATATTTATATGATACATCCACATGACGTTTCTTTTGCCTTTCAGTGTAGATCGTCAAAGTCTTGGGACTGTATGTTAACCATTTGCTTTCACATTGTAGGTTTTGACCATCCTGAAAAGGTATTCTGCAAAAAGGAACCTCCCCTCCCCAACCCCAACCCCTTTGAGATAAAAATATGTAAAGACAACGTAACCTTGTTTGTGTATCATCGTACCCGGTGGCGTGTATCGTTACCTTTGCTTTCAGGCACTGGTTTGTAGTGTCGAGATTCGACTGTTTACAGCCAGACGGGATATTGTGGGAATTTTGGTGATGTGAGATGTTAAAAGACTCTTTGACGCAAATCTTGGCAGTTGTCGTGTTATCAACTCCTTCAGTGGGTTATACAGGTTCATGCGCATCCTCGACCAGGTGTTAACAATCAATATACACCGATAGTCGCCCAGGTATTACACCTGTCACTTGAGCTTGAATACTTTAAATGTTATGAATGTTACCATCCTCAAACAATAGGAACATTAGGAGATTTTAAAAATGGCCCAAAACAGTTTCTTAATTTTCGTAAAATAGAAGGCAGTTTGTTTCTCTGTTTGTTGTTGTTTAACGCCGCAATTGGCAATATTCCAGCTATGTGACGGCGGTCTGTAAATAATCGAGTCTAGACCAGACAATCCAGTGGCTGATACCATGAACATCGATCCAGGCAATTGGGATACGATGACATGCATCAACCAAGTCAGCGAGCCTGACCACCCGATCCCGTTAGTCGCCTCTTACGACAAGCATGGGTTGCTAAAGACCTATTCTACCCCAGATCTTCACGGGTTAAGGCAGCAGAAATAGAACTTACCCAAAGCAGTCATGACGACGAAAACCAAACAGGACTTCATGTTTCGAGTCTGTTGCCAGCTCTGTACACAACTGAGCTACTGGTGCCGCCAGAAAGTGACACTCATTATATAATGTTAAAATTATTAACTCATATCCGGAGTTCAATCAAGTTTAATCATTTCTGACATTAAAACCATGGTCCAACCCAATTTGGAAGGATAGAGTTATCAGTAGCATTTGGCAGCAAATAGTGATGTCACTTTACCCTTTGATTCGCGTGATCATTGTTTCCCTTTCTGTTTCCAAATATAGGTAAATGGGAAGATGTGTCAATCGCGATTTTGTAATCTGTCTACTTGGGTCTTTGTGAAAGTACTGGCCTTTCTGGCTGTTTCTGGGTTTAGTTAGACAGTGGGCGGTAACGCATTGTTTCCTGTGGTAGACGTGTTCATAGTCACTTGAGTTTGAAAGTGTTTTATGGGAACTTGGGTTTCTCTTGTCAGAGTATGGGTAATAAACAAAACTGATTACATGAAACAGGACAAGGAAATATGCTTTATGGTTTCACATTGTGGGGTGAGAGTAATTATGTTATCAATTATTACCCAAATGTGTAAATAGTGTGTGTAAATAGTGTCACACTCGGATGTTCTGTCCCAAAACTATGGATCCTCTCTATATGGGATGATGGGATGGTTGTCCCAGAACTTAGTCATGGATCTTCTGTGTAGGGTAAGATTAGGTGATAGGGGTTTAACGTCGCGTCCAAGATTATTGCAGTTTTATAGCGACGTGCATGCACATGTGTGTGTGTGTGCGTCTGTGGTTTCTTGGACTAGTTCTTGTTCTTGACGAATGTCGATTTTATAGTGCCAGCCCACTGCGATACCATGCCGCAGTGCACCAATAATACCCCACTCAGACGCAGTATACTGACTCCGAGCCGGACCCCGAACCCCGGACCTTCCGCTATGCGGGTTGTCCCAGTTCCTAGTTAGGGACCATCTGTATAGGGTAATGAGGAGTTCGGTATATAATGAAATTAAACGCTCTCATACAGTCATTGTTAAGGTATTTATCTACAGGACAAAACAGTGTGTATTGTGTATCGATGTAGATTCGAAACATCGGTTTCAAGCAAGTATTGTTGGTGTGTGATTTATGATATAAGAGCAAATGATATATGAGAATATGTCTGCATGTAACATAACCATATATAGAGATTAAACAGTAGATGACCTGGGGTGAAGCTCCTTGAAGCCAGTTATGAATGAACGAGTGTGGAATCATAAAAAAGCGTTCGGTTTGTGTGTTCGTTGTTTAACGCCACACCCAGCAACATTCCATCTGTATCACGACAGCCTGTAATAATAAACAATCAAATGTTTGATATCATGAACATCCATCCAACATACACGCCAAGTCACCAGGCCGAGAGAAGTACATCTATTACTGTAGTTTTTGTTGTTGTACAACTCATGTACCACCGATGGTGTAATTAAGCCAATTTATAAGTAGGGTAAGCCTTTCTTACCAAACAACTACAAACCGTCCCGGCTTGGGTCCAATCACTCGGACGAGCGCCCGTCCGAGCGCCAGGAACCTCGCCAGGTCGGCTTGGGTCAAGCTGAAAGCGAATGAGTTAAAATTTGACGGTACGTCGGCATTATCAGGCGAAAAGATGACTGTTTAGCTTAAATTCTTAAAAATAATATTTCATACTGGTAAGACACCAGAAGAATGGTTGGTTAAATGGGGTTTAATTAAGCCAATTTATAAGAAGGGTAAGCCTTTGTTACCAAACAACTACAAACCACTTCCATTAACACTTGTAAGATGCTTGGGTATTTTTTTTACTTTTCTTGTTGACAATATATTCACTACTTTCATTGAAGTAAATGGATATTATTTTATCTGAAGTCTGAACTGGCTTCAGAAAGAACTACTTTGCAACTCAGAGTGCTGGCGCCAGCCTACAGGATGTCAACAACTACCACACCAAATCAGAATCAGTCGTTCGGCCAGCAGCTTTCATAGAGAAAGATGAAATGTGGATTGAGAGATCTGGCAGCTGTGTTTGGATGATCTTGTGTGAGAATTGATGATTTTGTCAAATGTACTTCTATTGAGTAAATTAAAAGTGTCCAAGTTTTTCCAATATTTAGTGTTGTCTTTTTGAACAGGATGATATATAATATTTACTTTTCACTGATCATATTTCTAAACTTTCACTGTTTCTGGAACTGGTAAGCACAAACTACCAATAGAAACAGGACGATGGGAAATTATATCACGAGAACAAAAGATATGAATATTGTGTGACTGCCAAGTAATTGGTGACGAGTTCCATTATGTATTCAACTGTAATTCTTCTTTAAGCTTACGCGCTGAATGAGTTAATAAATACTACACACACTGGCTAAACATTTGTTGTATTACTCATGTACCACCGATGGTTGTCGTCGAGTAATAAGAGAGAGAGAGAGAGAGAGAAAGAGAGAGAGAGAGAGAGAGAGAGAAAATATAGAATTTTATAAGTAAGTTGGAAGCTGATTTAAACCTTTGTTTTATGCAGCATTTATGACTTGAAAAAGGTCTATGGTAAGAAATGATTTTAATTCGTGATGGTTGCTTTTAAATCCACATGCGCTCCCCTTCACTACAATGCGTTTAGATTCAAGTTTCGGTTTCATCTTGCTCTCTGTGGGCGATCGGGTAGCCTAGTGGTTAAAGCGTTCGCTCGTCACGATGAAGATCCGGGTTCGATTCACAATGTGTGAAGCCCATTTCTGGTGTATATTGCTGGAATATTGCTAAAAACGGCGTAGAGCCATACTCACTAACTCGTTTGCTCTCAACCAGATATGTTTAAATTGTCAAATATTTGATATACACTGAAAGGCAAAAGAAACGTCACTTCTGAAAATACTGATAAAACTTAACAGACACTGGCAGTTACATGTTCTGTGGTCAATAAACTCATTTAACGTTCTACTGCTTCTTTTTGTTGCCTTAAAGTCCACTTAACAATTGAGTTTAAAATGGAGTGCTTTGCCCAAACGCAGCCTACAAAAGTTCAATGGGACTCAGTTGCGGAAAAGTCTTGTCAAAAACATGATGGTATGGGTATAAAAGACGCCCAAAACTGTTAAGCTGGCTTTCGTTATTTCGATTCATCAGCCATGCCAAGATTCTAAAGGAAATGAGAGACAACAAGCGATCGGAAGACTGCAAGCAGGCCAGAGTGCACAGGTCGTTACAAATGCATTCAATGTCAACGTCAGAACGATGTATCGTTTGCAACATCGCCACAACACCACCAACACCACCGACGACCGACCGCATCGGCGTCGTGGTCGTCCTAGAGTCACTACTCCCAGACAAGATCGGTTCATGATACGCCAACATCTACAGAACCGATTCCGAATGGCCACTGAAACAGCTCTGCAAACCATTGGCAACCACCAGCGTGTCATCAGTGATCGTACAGTCCGACGTCGCCTAACTGCCAACAACATCTCGTGCCACCGTCCTGCTCGTGTACCCATCCTGAGAGATCGTCACCGACAGGCCCGACTGCAATGGGCCATCCAGCATCAAAATTGGCGTCAACAGCAATGGAGAAGAATCATCTTCACTGATGAAAGTCGCCACTGTGTTTCAACGGTGGATGGCAGAGTCAGGGTCTTGCGAAGGAGCGGCGAACGTTATGCTGATGCTTGTGTTATGGAACGAGACCCGTGGGGCGGCCCAAGCCTCATGGTTTGGGGTGGAATCGGACTGAACCAGAGAGTGGGACCTGTGGTCTTTCAGAATATTGGTCCAGGCAGGGGTAATGACATCACAGCTCTCCGCTACATTGACCAAGTCCTCAGACCCCATATCGTGCCTTTTTTTGCCCGTCATCAAAACCACACCTTTCAGCAAGACAACGCTTGTCCCAGAACTTAGTCATGGGTCTTCTGTGTATGGTAAGTTAAGGTGAAATGGGGTTTAACGTCGCGTCCAAGATTATTGCAGTTATATAGCGACGTGCGTGTACATGTGTGTGTGTGTGTGCGTCTGTGGTTTCTTGGACTAGTTCTTGTTCTTGACGCATGTCGATTTTATAGTGCCCGTCCACTGAGATACCATGCCGAAGTGCACCAATAATACCCCACTTAGACACAGTATACTGACTCCGAGCCGACCAGTCCTTGTTTTAGCCCCTTCATGCCGAGTGACGCGGCCTGGATTCGAAACCCGGACCTTCCGCTATGCGGGTTGTCCCAGTTCCTAGTTAGGGACCATCTGTATAGGGTTATGAGGAGTTCAGTGTATAATGAAAGCAAACGCTCTCAAACAGTCCCTGTTAAGGTATTTATCTACAGGACAAAACAGTGTGTATTGAGTCTTAAGCAAGTATTGTTGATGAGTGATTTATGATATAAGATATATGAGAATATGTCTGCATGTAACATAACCATATATAGAGATTAAACAGTAGATGACCTGGGGTGAAGCTACTTGAAGCCAGTTATGAATGAACGAGTGTGGAATCATAAACAAAGCGTTAGATGTGTGTGTTCGTTGTTTAACGCCACACCCAGCAACATTCCATCTGTATCACGACAGCCTGTAATAATTAATAATCCAATGATTGATGTTATGAACATCCATCCACGCCATACACGCCAAGTCACCAGGCCGAACCATCCGATCCACTTCGTCGCCTCTTGCAAGCAGGATAGGTTGCTGGGGATACGTTCAAACATACAGGGGACACAATTACAGCCCGAGTTTTACCTGTAGGGAACATTTATCTCTGATTTCATTGACTAGGATTTTGAAATTCAGTCTGTAGATATCTCGTTCAGAAGAGTGATTTTGATTGGTTGTTGGTTTCAAGCTCATTAGCGAGAGTCACTCTGCGCTAAGTTGGGTTTGCAGATGATGCTACCACTTTCCAAACAAAGCTATGGCGGCGAACGTTATTTATTCAAACCCGGAATCCCAAATGGCGTTTTTACTAAAAATCAACGTGAAGCTGAGAATCAAGGCAACATTAGATGGGAGATGCTACGTTAGCTTGGAATACGGTTTTGTGTTTAGCTGCAGACAAAACAGACACATTATTAAGTAATTACATGTTCCTTTATTTTATCATTTGAAAAGCAGATGAATATACAGAGACAGAGATGTACCACAGATGAGCTTGAACGATGTTTTCTACGCTTGACCTGTGGGAATAAAGGAATTGTAAGTATAAATGCAGGATAAATGTTTCCGCAAGCTAAACAAACAATGTCGCTACCAAATAAGCTCTTTCTTTCGCATTTTAGTTCATAAACACCTTTTTTAAATATATAGTTTAAAAAGCGGAATGAAATTAAATGAACGAAACACTCTTTGTTGGAGAGCTGTTTTTGCTTAGTTGTCACAAACAAAAGCGAGAAGAAGGAAAACTGTTCTCTGTTTTTTTTCAAACATTTGTGTTTTTATAAGATGGGAGCGGGGAGAGCTTTGGGATCTTATTGACGAAAGCCTTCCTTTGTCGCGCCTTAGGCCCGGGTCGATTCCACACATATGTGAGTGAGTGACTATGGTTTTACGCCGCTTTTAGCAATATTCCAGCAATATCACGGCGGGGGACACCAGAAATGGGCTTCACACTTTGTACCCATGTCAGGAATCGAACCCGGGTCTTTGGCGTGACGAGCGAACGCTTTAACCACTAGGCTACCCGACCGCCCCCCACACATATGTACAATGCATGTGAACAGTACCATTTCAGTGATATTATTTGAAAACAGATAAAAGTGAAATAAAAAACCAGTATTAATAATGTTTTGTACAAACATTTACTCACATACAGACGCCAGTGCTTGTCTTGTCCGGTCAAATTGCATCTGACTTAACAGATCCCCGAGTCTGCTACCACAAATGGCCACCAGGTCGTCAACACAACTGAACGCTGTGTGGGCCATACTAGAAGGAAATATACAATAAGGTCAATTAAATGTAACACTCAAAGCATGCACCGCCGACACTTCTCAAACATATCTCATATCACATATCCTTGACTTGCAAACAGACATGCAAATCCCTGACTGACACACATAAGATATACGACCCTGATTCACAAACATAACATACACGTTCCTAACTTACACGCGATATTCACGTTCGTGACTAACACAGACGACATACACGTCCCTGACTTACACACACATGACATACACGTCCCTGACTTACACACGACATGCACGTCCCTGATTTACACACACGACATACACGTCCCTGACTTACACACACGACATACACGTCCCTGACTTACACACATGACATACACGTCCCTGACTTACACACATGACATACACATCCCTGACTTACACACATGACATACACGTCCCTGACTTACACACATGACATACACATCCCTGACTTACACACATGACATACACGTCCCTGACTTACACACATGACATACACATCCCTGACTTACACACATGACATACACGTCCCTGACTTACACACACGACATACACGTCCCTGACTTACACACGACATGCACGTCCCTGATTTACACACACGACATACACGTCCCTGACTTACACACATGACATACACGTCCCTGACTTACACACACATGACATACACGTCCCTGACTTACACACATGACATACACGTCCCTGAATCACACACATGACATACACGTCCCTGATTTACACACACATGACATACACGTCCCTGACTTACACACATGACATACACGTCCCTGAATCACACACATGACATACACATCCAACTGACACACACATGACATACACATCCCTGATTTACACACACGACATACACGTCCCTGACTTACACACACACGACATACACGTCCCTGACTTACACACATGACATACACGTCCCTGACTTACACACATGACATACACGTCCCTGACTTACACACACACGACATACACGTCCCTGACTTACACACATGACATACACGTCCCTGACTTACACACATGACATACACGTCCCTGAATCACACACATGACAAACACATCCAAATTACACACACGTCCCTTATTTATACACGTCATACCTATCCAACTTATACACGGCATACTCATCCCTGACTTACACACACATGACATACACAACCGACTTACACACACATGACATGCACGTCCCTGACTTACACACATGACATACACATCCAACTTACACACACATGACATACACGTCCCTGACTTACACACACGACATACACGTCCCTGATATACACACATGACATACACATCCGACCTACACACATGACATACACATCCGACTTACACACATGACATACACATCCGACTTACACACATGACATACACATCCAACTGATACACACATGACATACACATCCCTGATTTACACACACGACATACACCTCCCTGACTTACACACACGACATACACGTCCCTGACTTACACACATGACATACACAGCCGACTTACACACATGGCATACACAACCGACTTACACACATGACATACACATCCGACTTACACACATGACATACACGTCCAACTTACACACATGACATACACATCCGACTTACACACATGGCATACACAACCGACTTACACACATGACATACACATCCGACTTACACACACGACATACACATCCAACTTACACACATGACATACACGTCCAACTTACACACATGGTATACACATCCGACTTACACACATGGCATACGCAACCGACTTACACACATGGCATACACAACCGACTTACACACATGACATACACATCCGACTTACACACATGACATACACATCCGACTTACACACATGGCATACACATCCGACTTACACACATGACATACACATCCGACTTACACACATGGCATACACATCCAACTTACACACATGACATACACATCCGACTTACACACATGGCATACACAACCGACTTACACACATGGCATACACATCCGACTTACACACATGACATACACATCCAACTTACACACACGATATATACGTCCCTGACTTACACACATGACATACACATCCGACTTACACACATGACATACACATCCGACTTACACACATGGCATACACATCCGACTTACACACATGACATACACATCCGACTTACACACATGGCATACACATCCAACTTACACACATGACATACACATCCGACTTACACACATGGCATACACAACCGACTTACACACATGGCATACACATCCGACTTACACACATGACATACACATCCGACTTACACACATGGCATACACAACCGACTTACACACATGGCATACACATCCCTGACTGACACACATGACATACACATCCCTGACTTACACACATGACATACACGTCCCTGACTTACACACATGACATACACGTCCCTGACTTACACACATGACATACACGTCCCTGACTTACACACACATGACATACACGTCCCTGACTTACACACATGACATACACATCCCTGACTTACACACATGACATACACGTCCCTGACTTACACACATGACATACACATCCCTGACTTACACACATGACATACACGTCCCTGACTTACACACATGACATACACGTCCCTGACTTACACACGACATGCACATCCCTGATTTACACACATGACATACACGTCCCTGACTTACACACATGACATACACGTCCATGAATCACACACATGACATACACAACCGACTTACACACACATGACATACACATCCAACATACACGTCCCTGACTTACACACTCTCTTCACCTACCTACACATGGCAGATTGGTCGTTGACTCCAGCCCCCTGCAGTGGTGCTACGCAATCAAGTATCTCCTGTTGCAAGTTTGACGGACATCCTCCTTTGAACACGAAACAGTCGATAAAACTTGTCTAAAAATATTATTATCGAGTACTGAGTATGTTTAGTGCCTCGGGTGGGATTATTACATTTGCTGCTAATGCATGTCACTTTTCGAAGTATTGTACCTAGCTTTGTTACAGAAAATATATAAAGTCATATATAAAAGCAAGAACACTCTTTCAAGTAAAGAAGAAACTCCCTGAGTAACTTTGAAAATGGGGAAGTAATACACGCTAACATGCATGGATATTGTGCTGATAAACTAAGGAGCATTGTCGCGGCGAATGTAAGCGTCCTGACTTACATGCGATATTCACGTACGTGACTTACACACATGGCATACATATGTGTCGAGCACACAAGCGGATCTTTGCACGGCTATAGGAAGCAATTCTGCGCATGTTACTCGGATCCTAAATGTTTATGAGAAAGATGGAAACAACACGTACTGTCTCCTCCGTCATCGCCCGCACCTGGTCGATAAAATGTGTAAATTAATTTTGAGATTATACATATTGAGACCATAAAAAATAAATTTAAATGAGATTTCCCGGTACCACATATAAAGTTTTTTGCACCGAAGGGCCAGAGGCTACTCAGAGTGAGTGAGTAGGTTAACGTCGGTTTTAAAATATTTCAGAGATATTACATTCCACTTCTAATATGAGAAGTTTAATGCTTCGGCAAAACCTCAAAAATGTAAGTGGTTGTCATAGACCAATGATCATTATCAGAGCGAATCTGGGATTTAAACCTTTGACCATCGGATCTTGACTTGTCTAAGAGGGGTAACTCTCTCCATTGGATAACTACTTTCAAGTTGGGGTGTTCTCCGTGCCAATAGGAAGGGTTATACAGGGGTTATAAGAGAAAACAGTAATACTTACATAGGAAACTTGCCTGAGTTCTGATTTGGTCCACATTAAACATGGATGCCATACTGGCAAATTGAGCATTATCCCCGCAGGCCACGGTTAAGTTGGAGACACAGTCCAGGCTGGATGTCAGAGAACTGAAGGAAGGATAGACGGATAGCAAATTGTTAGGACATATGAAGTACAAATAATTTGTAAATACATGTACTGATGGAAATAAAAAGAGAACTGCTACGAGGGGATAGTAGTAGTTAATTTTCATTTATGATAATGAGTTTCAGCATGCAAAGGGAGATAAAAAAACAATAGTGGTGTCATGGAAAGGGTTGTGAAGCTTTTATTTACATCAAGTGTGGACGAGTTTCAGGCAATAAGTAGTCACTTATATTCTGATTACATGCTAACAAATACACAACAATAGGTTGGGCCATCAGAACTGCACTCTGTGTAAGGTGAGTGGCTTCCGACAAGACATATTTCTTCTGTCAGATCACCTGCACGCCTATGTAAGATCCGTGGCTTCAGGTCAGACAACTTTCATCTATTAGCTCACCTGCACGCCTGTGTAAGATCCGTGGCTTCAGTTCAGACAACTTTCATCTATTAGCTCACCTGCACGCCTGTGTAAGACCCTTGGCTTCAGTTCAGACAACGTTCATCTCATAGCTCACCTACACGCCTGTGTAAGACCCGTGGCTTCAGGTCAGACAACTTTCATCTCTTAGCTCACCTGCACGCCTTGGAAGATCCGTGGCTTCAGGTCAGACAACTTTCATCTATTAGCTCACCTGCACGCCTGTGTAAGACCCGTGGCTTCAGGTCAGACAACTTTCATCTATTAGCTCACCTGCACGCCTGTGTAAGATCCGTGGCTTCAGGTCAGGCAACTTTCATCTCTTGGCTTACCTTCACACCTGTGTGAGATCTGTGGCTGCAGATCAGACAATGTTCCCCTGTTAGCTCACATGCACGTCTGTGTGACATCCGTGGCTTCAGATCAGACAAATTTCACCTGTTAGCTCACCTGCACGCCTGTTTGGGATCCGTGGCTTCGTATCAGACGTTCACCCGTTAGCTCACCTGCACGCCTGCATGCCTTCCGGGGCTCCCGATGACAGAACTTGCATCTGGGCGCTTATGTCCCCAAGGCAGTTTTGCATTTGCGTCATGAAATCGTCGGGGCAGGTCGCTGGTGCTTGTGTCGTTGGGGGTCCTCTGGTTGATGGTGCCTCCGTCTCTACACCTAGAAGCATGTTGTGAAAGGGATATTGATTAATACCAAAAAACAATATTTACCATACTAGTTCATGTGATGGCTGTCTAGAACACTTGATACATGGGAGTAATTGAGTGGGTATACGGACGTGTTATACATGTAGCTGATTCCTGCTTTCAATGTGTAGGAGGGTCAAATGATGGTCACATTTATCATTTTCTATATTTTCATTACAGCTGACCTACAGAAAGAACAAAACTATCATGTCTATGCTGAGCACCACCACACATAGCCAAAATGGCATTGCAGTATCCGTAATTAACTGCCTAATGACCGATCATTCATATTTAACTATGGCTGCCCTGTTGAAATATCATGGTTCTTTTGCGAGAACCTTAAAAGGTTAATTGCCCAGGTGAGCTAATACAAAAACTTGTACATTCACTTACAAATCGACAAAAGATTTGAGCGTAGTGTGTCCAAGCGTATAACTGCAGGGTTAAAAACACTTGGGCATTTCGCGATGTTTTTTTGGAGACAACCAATGGTTCTTCTCACCTTCCTAAAACAAAAACAAAAATACTAATGACATACTAATTGATTCTGAAGTTAAATTGCTATCTGCAAAACAAATATATTACGCTCATCTTTTTGTCAATCCAGTATTTTACTGGAAAAATTATGTTTAATACTACCCAGGAATATTGTCAAAACCAGCTCCATTTCTCACTCACTTCAGATACATGTAACTGATAAATAATATCATTAATAATAATATTGCATAAAGCCGCGTTAACCAGATTCACTCACTTCTTAAATCAGTCAAAGAATTAAATGCAAAACACATGTTAAGTATTGGAGAAAACACGCTCATGAGGTTTTGGTAGACAGGGCATGCCCTGGGGGTCGGGAAAAACCGCGGGGGCTTGGCCCCCTTGGTTTTTCCCTCTCCCCAGGGCATGCTCTGTCTACCAAAACCGAGGGAAAGTGTTTTTCCATGCTTATAAACCGAAAAAAAGAAACTTAAAACAACATTTATCAACATTTTTATGTTTCGAACATACTTTCCATGAACCTTAGGAAACGCGCGTAAAATATCTGTTGCTGGCGTACGGATCTTGAAAAGGACATTCTAAAAAACCAGTGAAGCTTATCAACACCTCTGTAGCCTCGTGGTACACTCAATGGGCTACAGATATGAAGGTTGCGAGTTCGATCCTCGGGAATATAAAGAAAACAATTGTGATTTGATCTTACATTTCATTACATGTTACAATCTGAACGGAAGTTATATTAATTAAATACCCAAGACATTATATAAAATCCCAGGGACATTACAACGTCCCTGTTTATGAGATTTAACCAGACTGGAAAGTAAAACCTCACGATAGGTTTTAATGCCTATAGAAAGAAGTCTCTTACTTAATAGCGATCCCAATGAATAGGTTTATAAAAATGGATAATGCATGTGTTACCCGCAAACGATAGGTTGATCGTAGACAAGACGTTGCAGTTTGTGTGCACATCTCTGAATCTTGCCCTGCCTCCTGAATGAACAGGTTGTCCCCCTCCTTCTGTCATCCTCATTCTCGTCCTCATCCTCATCGAGATCCACCTCACCGCCTGAGTATCAATAACACATGCGAAGCAGATGGTTCATGTTTGTTTGTTTGTGTTAAATACCGCATCGCAATTGGGATACGATAACATGCATCAACTGAGTCAGTGAGTCTGACCACTCGATCTCGTTAGTCACCTCTTACGACAAGCATGGGTTGCTGAAGACCTATTCTAACCCTAATCTTCATGCGTGAACGAGGGTGATGGATGCTGGTTCGTTTTTTAAAATATAATTCTGGAATATTTCTGGCAAAAATCTCGTTCGCCAGATGCCAGCTGTTGTACAAATACTGTGCTGTGGGTTTAAAAATGTTGTTTGGCTTGTCCTTCTAGAGATTCAATTGTATCGTCTTGAAAGATATCCCATATTCACGAAGAGGGCATACGGTGTTCGTCTTGTGTACTCACACACTCTGGAAATCATGACATCAAAGGTGGATACCGTATCTTTCATGTATTGACATTCTCCAACGACCTCATCCATACAACCAAGGGCCTGTCCAGCATCACTGGGGAAACATAACGCGACATAAATAGTTAAGACTTAACATAAAATATACAAGGTTGAAACATACTAAAAATAAATCCGGATCTGATCAATAACTTAATAAGCCAATACTGGAAGGTACAGACATCAACAAGGCGATATTGATTTCCTGGTCATTCATAGGTTCCACAGCTAGAAATGTCAAAAACCGGGTTCGATTCCCCACATAGCTACAATGTGTGAAGGCCATGTCTGGTGTCCCCCGCCTCGATACTGCTGGAATACAGCTAAAAGCGGCGTCGAATATACTTACTCACTCATTCACATGAACCTAAACGATATCAGAATGGTTCCTCATTTCTAAAAATATCACTTTAAGGATTGTGTCGTTACCCTACATTGTTTTAAATATTGATACATAAGATACATTCAAATCAGCTTGGTTATAAAAAGACTATCTACCTGCAGAATTGCGGCACCTGGTCCGGAGGAAGGTCACTGAGCGCACCACTATAGGGAATCATTGGGATATAACAATGCCTCATGTCACACCTGTCACCATAGCTCAGTCTGGCTGCAAAGAAACACGAACGTCATGCTTGGTTTGACTAAGTTTATGATGCTGGAACACATCAGGAGCTCTCGTGACTGCTTATTATCGCAGGGGCACTTAGAGCTAGGATGGGTGCGTTCAACTCTCCATGCTCATATATATACACTTTCTCTATTGTCCAGAGCTACAGATGAGCAGCGTATTTGCGTAACCCCCCCCCCCCCCCCCCCAAAAAAAAAAAAAAAAAAAAAAAAATTAAAATAATAATAATATTAATTAAAAATTAAAAAATATTTAAAAAAATATAAAATAAATATATGAATAAATATATATATTCAAAACCCAATTACTCTCAATTAACTTGCGAACAGGAACGCAAGCATTAAATGAAAAACTCAAATGTATAAAAACAGCACGCGTAAATGACCAATGAGGTTTTTTCAGCATGCGAACAATGGAGTCCATTTCCGAAACACAATTCCGAGCTTATTTACTTTCCGAGTCAAGCCTATATTTAGAACATTTATACACATCTAAAACATTATTTCACTTTTTTAAAATCTTAAAATGTTCACTAATTTTGGGAAAAACCCAATAGAGTGATGAATAGACGAGTGAAAAAATATTGGTTAACCAATGAAAATGTAATAACCCAATTAAAACAGAAAATTGCTCAAAAAGTTATCTGGAGATCTGATTGTCCATGTATAACATGATTCAAGCCGTGGGTGTTGAACGTAGATCAATAAAACAAAGAGCTACAATTACATTGTTCAATGTTATGGGTCACGTACAAAGGTCAAGGCCAGATATAATGAGAGCCGTGACCCGTGCGACCTTACAGCTGACACAAAATTACACCAGAACATGATTTATATAAACATTTCCTGTATTTAACCTCCTTGTCAGATAATCATGTACACAGTCTTGTTCTGCTGCAATTTTCAAGAAAGTGGAATTTGAGTTAACGCCACAAAGGTGAGATCAAGCTACGTGTATGCATGAGTGTGTGTTGCTTGTACTCGTCCGGACTTACGACGGCTTTAATGCCAGCCCACCGAGATGCCATGCTTGCAGTTTAACATGAATACCCCACTCAGACACAGTACAATTCTTTTACGCCCTTAATGATGAGCAGAAGGCAGGGTAATAATAAGTACCAACTTTAAACGTCTTTTGGCATGACACAGCCAGGGGATCGAACCACGGACCTTGCGCTCTCCGGGGCAAGAAGCTCATCCACTAAGTTGAGTTTTCACGTTACAGATTTGAAATATTATGAAATCCCGTTAATCAGTGAGTACCATTTCAGATGAAGTGACATCACGTAACAAAAACCTGGGACGATCTGTACATTTGTTGACGTGCACAAGGTAATTTTATGAGGTTTCCGGATAAACAAGGTTTCACTTCAGTGAACATAACAACTTTTAAAGGTCTTCGGCGGACAAACGAGGTTTCACTATATGGCTACTGACAATTTAAAAGAGACATTTTGAAAAACAAATGAGCAAAACGTATTTTTACTTCGACCATAAGAACTGTTATGTTCTTGTTGTTGTTGTTTAACGCCGCATTCAATGGGTGAGAGAGTATTCCACATATATCACGCCGTTTTAACGCCGCATTCTGCAATATTTATATTACAGTTAAATGACGGCAGCCTGTAATTCGTCGAATAAGGAGCTGAAACGTTGACCGAACCGAAGCACCCGAACAAAAGGTCGCCTCTTTCAACCAGCATGTAAGTCATATGAAAGTATTTCACATGTTTCTGGGGACCACTTCTGACCTGGGCCCACTAGCACAAAGCGATCTTAGCGCTAGGATGATTGTAACTCCCATGCATTAACACAGGCTTACAATAGTCGTAGCGCTAAAATCGCTTTGTGCAAGCGGGCCCGAATCCGCACAGGTTTTAATTACAGTAGAGGGCACGGGTGGCCCAGTCGTCTAAGGCGCCGCGATTCGCTGTGCAGAGTTGCGTCCCTTGGGCACGCCAGAAACCTATGATTGTGGGTTCGAATTCCGGTTCGCCCCGATAATGTTTCTAGGTCTCTCAGCACCACACCTGTGCTCGTGGGTTTCACGGAAGTGGTAAACGTCTGAGACCTGCATCACTTCGGGCTTTCCTCCCACATAAAGCTGACACGCCGTGATGTAACTGGAATACTGTTAAAAGCGTCGTTAAACCCAACTCATTCACTCATTAACTACAGTATCGTATGTTAAATATCGGCGGATTCGTGAACCACGTTATAAAAAGTTTGGCCCAATAACACGTATGCCAAATAACATTCAATAATCTGTAAATACAGCAGAACCATGCATACTACTTACCCATAGAAGCCAGCATAAAGACAACCAAGTAGGGCGTCATGTTGTTTAGAGTCTGTTACCACCTCTGTACCCAGCTGGGCTCAAAATGCAACAAGTAGGTGACGACTCGTATTATATACTCGCGCTGTGCACTTAAACCTGGTGTTAAAGCTGTCCCAATTAAGCCTGACATTAAAACCCTGTAATTGGTCCGAACCAATTTGGAAGGATAGTTTTTCACATTAATTATTACAGTAAACGTTGGGCACGTCACTTCAGGCTATGATTTATATATCTTTATATAATGATCTTATCATGCTAATATTTCAGGAAACATGTTACCATATATATACACAACAATGTCGTGGTATGTCACTCACGATGTTGCAAGATCTAAAAGTGGCATTGCGAAATGGTTGACCTTTTCTGGTTGTATCAGTTTGCACAGTCGAATCTCTCTTATCCGGACACAAGCGTCCAAAACACTGGTATCCGATACAGTCGTGTGTTTTGCACTGTCGGTTATTACTATTCTCTGCCCGGATCCGGAAAGCGGATTCCCGGATAAAGGATGGTTGGTTGATTGGTTTGTTTGTTGTTTAACACTGCACTCAGCAATATTCCAGCTATATGACGGCGATCTGTAAATAATCCACGCAATTGGGATACGATGACATGCATCAACCAAGTCGTCAGCGAGCCTGACCACCCGATCCCGTTAGTCGCCTCTTACGACAAGCATAGTCGCCGTTTACGACAAGCATGGGTTGCTGAAGACCTATTCTACCCCGGATCTTCTCGGGTCCCCGGATAAAGGAATCATTGTATGTAGTATTCATTTTGCGTAAATATCATCCGACTATTAATCGAGAACATTAAATATTTATCAAAGCGTAGTCTGGAAGCATACGATAAGTTTGTGTGTGGTTGGGTGGGAGACACTGTGTCGTACTTGCATTTGTCCGTCCAAGAGGGAAACGATTGAAAGGCCATTCACGGGATGATGTCAAAGGACAATGGCTGAAACCAACAGAAGATATGTATATTTTACTATCAGACAGGCCGCCTATGTGTATGAAGTCATAGTACTTTTAGCATTCAGGTATTGTTTGGAGAGGTTACGGCGATGTTATATACACCTATAACACGTCAACACCAGATGACAATCAGTTAGACTGACTGTTAGACAGACAGACTGTGATTTGACATCTGGAGATAATAATCTTAGTGACAGAATATTAAGGTCTTCAGCAAGTTACAAACAATTCCCCTTTGCCAACAGTTTTCAGCACACACTGATGCAACGTTTGAGTGTACCGAGTCTATGATTATGCTGAAGTGTAAGAATGCTGGCAATTTCATATTCAGTTCATATTTTGAATTACAAATAAGACATTTTGCACACTTTTTTAAATCAAGGCTTTGAAATGATTCTTCATCTGAAATACTATTAAAAGTAAATGATTCTTCCATTGTAATTTTACAGTTTATGCTCTTTCATTTATTACTGATGACACTGACCCGTGAAGATCCGGGGTGGAATAGGTCTTCAGCAACCAATGCTTGTGGTAAGAGGCGACTGCCGGAATCGGGTGGTCAGGTTTGCTGACTTGGTTGATGCATGTCATCGATCCCAGTTGCGTGGATCGATGCTCATGATATTAATCACTGAATTGTCTGGTCCAGACTCGATTATTTACAGAACGCCGTCGTATAGCTGGAATATTCCTGAGTACGTCGTTAAACAACAAACAAACCAACCAACCCCCTCTAATCGCACAAAAAACGGTGAGTGAGTGAGTGAAACACTGCTTCTAACAACAATCCAATAATATCAAGGACCACAATGTGTAAGTCTTGTCAGGTGCTCCTCTCATGTAACTTGTGTGACCTTGTGTCATTGCTGTCATGCCAGAAGAGGCATTCGGTGTAGGCGATCTGACACCTCGGTGTAGGCGATCTGACATCCAGGTGTATCAACAGTATTTCAGTCTAGTCGATCCACAGAAACGATGGGATGTGTTTTACAAACTAATGTGTCCGAGACGAAACTGGAAGAAGTCATAAGGCCTCAGGTTTTGCGAAAAACATTATTCACTGGACATAGAAAAATAATTCCATGTGACAAAAAATCATTTACACACACACTTGTCCTTTGACATGCATAACGGGACACCCAAGGATCGCGTTATTAGCAAAATAAACCGAACGTAACAGGATAATATTGAACTCAAAACGGACTTAATAGCCTTCGAATGGTTACTCATTGAGTACATTCAATTAAGAGGAAATGATTGATCCTTTTCTAATGCCCTGATCACTTCTAGTGTACAAACCACCCCGTCCTCAGTCCCAGGCAGCTGGTCAAATGGTGAGTAATGGTTGCATCGTTATCTCAATAAACTACCCCGATTGTCCTTAATCGCGCAATGGGATCATTCAGACCAGCACCACTTTTGTCGCCTTAATAAATGATGACAGTAGCTCAACTGACATTTGAGCCAATTTGCACTGTCAGAAATGTTAACCTTGAATGTACGGTCATAACTGTGATAATTAAGATAAAACCATAAACTGACTATGCTGAAATTGTTGTCATAACGAGGCTACTTTGTGAGCGTGGTCACTTATTATTCTTCATCTGTAGATGGCCTGTGCCAGATTCTTTTAAAAAATCGCCATTGTGAGACCCATACGCAGTATAACTAACTCGTCGAGTGGATGAATGTTTGACAAATCGTGGCGGTATAGCACTGCTGATCCAAAAATGCCATCTTTGAAATTTCGCATCTCACCCCTATCGTCCTTCAAGATTGTTATCGGTCATAACGTGTACTATAATACTTCACTACCGGTTGTGATGTGTTCCCAATTCGTTTATTATTATCATACAACTATTACTAGAAACTAGTATCTCTTACAATAGGGTAGCCTAGTGGTTAAAGCGTTCACTCGTCACGCCGAAGACCCCGGTTCGACTCCCGACTTGGGTACAATGTGTGAAGCCCATTTCTGGTGTCCCCCGCCGTGATATTGCTGGAATATTGCTAAAAGCGGCGTAAAACTATACTCACTCACTCACTCACTACAATTTTAGAAATGTTAAGTTATTTCAGGGTATCCCCTATTTCTTTAAGAGAATGTCTACATTTTCACAAAACGGTCCGACCCCGTTATCTCGACATTCGTAATCTCGTATGTACCGATATCTTGAACATAATATCCGGTCCCCGCCGCCCCACTATATAAGTACATAAAAATATGACCTCTCATCTCGAATTCGAGAAGAAAAATACATAGCGCTATCTCTAACCTTGAACTCGGTCCCATCTTTACTGTAGGACTTTGTACCTGTATCTCGAAGGTACATTGAAAAGTACATTGCAATTTGAACCAGTTGCCTTTTAATCCAATTGTAGATGATATTGTTATTGACAAATAAAGTGAGTGAGTGGATTTACGCCGCTGTAAGCAATATTCAAGCAATACCAGGGCAGGGGACACCACAAATGGGCTTCACACATTATACCAACATGTGTTTGTTGGGAATCGAACCTTTCCCCACCGCCTCTATTGACAAATAGAACACGGCATATCATATTGGATTATTCCTATTTACAATTCTTTTTTCTGAACTTAAATTTCAAACAGACCAGTTTGAAGAATATATGGATTAGCAGTTAGCTTCATAACACTAGGCCTGCATATTGCTTTTATTTGTGCCCGTTGGAGTTTACACCAGGGAACGGGAATATACGTATATATCTACCTCCTCCCTGAGAAACCAACAGCATGGATATAGCGTTGGCAAACCCAGAAACGTTAACAGGTAGATCCGGTATTCGAACCCATTATCATAGGATTCTGGCAAGATTAAGGGACATAGCTCTACACAGCGAATTGCGGCGCTAAAGGTATCCGTATCCCCAGAATTTGACATTTGCCTGACCAAACCACATGAAGCCTTATTAAAATCTCCACATCGCCCTGCAAGGAGAGCCTTGACTGATAGTCACGTGCACGAAAACGAGTTAAAAATTGATTCCTGTCAGTGGTGGCCGAGGTCCTATTGGACTGAGACGATCGAGCTGTGTGCACCTTCCCTATCCCCCTCTTGTTGGATATTCACAAAGTGCACCACGAAGGTCAACTATCAGAGTATGAATGCATGAAACCGTCAACCATCCAAAGTCAGCGTGGCAGTGCGGCAGTTTAACGTGGAAACCCCACTCAGACACATTATACTGACTCTCAGTCGACCTGTCCTTGTTTTAGCCCCTTCATGCTGACCGCCAAGCAGGGAGCAGCATGTTCCATCCTTTAACGTCTTAGGGTCATATTCAAGAAATACTGGTATCAACATCTGCCACACACGTCTTGTTTTGTTGACAAACTCATGCAGTAGAAGCCGATTCAGGCGCAGATCCTACCTCCTTTATTCAAAACCAAACTGAGGGGTCTTTGTACCCATTGCACCCATGTGGGGGTCGAACCAGGGTCGTGGATGTGACAAGCGAACACTTGAATAACATAACTTTTAAAATGAGTGAGTGAGTACGGTTTTACGCCGCTTTTAGCAATATTCCAGCAATATCACGGCGGGGGACACCCGACATGGGTACAATGTGTGAAGCCCATTTCTGGTGTGCCCCGCCGTGATATTACTGGAATATTGCTAAAAGCGGCGTAAAACCGTACTCACTAGAAATGGGCTTCACACATTGTACCTAGTCCTAGAAAAGCAGACGTATGTTAATTTCAACCAATGAATAAAATAACTTTTAACATGAACTAGGATTGTTGTGGATCCATTTTGTTCTACAATAAGAGTATGATAATGTTACAAACGGGTGGAGGACAGTCCATCCACAGTTACATAGGGTCCTCATTGTACCAGTCCACAGCCCTCATCTGTGTAAATTACCTACTCATACAGGTCTGTTCAAGACAAAAAACGTTTTGAAGGTTGTACAACAACTTAATGAAAAACGGAAAAAACACCTTCACCTGTTCGGAGATTCACCATGCACAAGCCTCCTGAATTTCACTCTGGGTTTCAATGGTAGCTGTAGCTGCCAAAGTCAGCATACCGGCATGTGGGAGGATTGCACCTAAATCACTTACTTTGTAAAAGACTGGTCGAAAGATTTCCCCCACGATGTGATACAATGCGCCTCATCAAGAATAATGTGACTGATCTTAAAATTGATCAGGGGAAAAAAGATAATGGGCACAGTACACCATGACATGTTTACATTTATTAATGGAAAGCACTGAACAAATTGCGCGATGAAATAACCTCTACAACAAGGCGATTTTGGTCTTCCCTCATGACGACATCAATTCAAAGAGAATTAAGCCTCCTGACCAGGTCAAGATATCGCCCTTTCAGGAGGTTTAAATGGCACTTTTTTCCAAATATAAACATACATTTATTTTACACCCTCTTGTTTGAATCATAAAAATGTGTTTCTTCAGATTGGTTCGAGATTGCAGAAGAACGGGAAACTTTCCCATTACATTCTTACATTACCAAGACTATTCGGCGTCACGGCAGACATTTCTGTAGTACCTGTGCCGACAACCTCTTCAGCATCAGTTGCCAGTTCCACTCCATGCATGGTTGTAGCCACTTATCACAGTTACACTAAGTAGGGAGCTTTGACTGGTGGCAGCGATAGTAAAGAGAGCTCCGTGACCGGGATATCTTTTTTGTAATTGTGACCTATTTCTTGAGTGCAAAAGCTGTATCCAGTCCTGTTTAGAGCTATATTTTTTCATATATACATGACACTGACAATATCAAGCACTAACAGCTGCTGAGCCAAGGAGTATTCAAGGAATGACATATTTCTAAAGAAATCCAAACAAGACGTTTCTCGACAATTCTTGTTCCCTTAATGTAACAGCCCAGCTGAGGAAAGTACGGGTGATTGCATTCAATGGAACACAGGTTTGCAGCAGTACTTGCAAAATAAACCACATGAGCGGACATATATTCACTGGGTGTGGCCGACAAGGTACACCAGGCAAGGGCAATCATGTACACAGGGACATTTCCTTTCGCTCCAACCAGAAGACTGAGACATGTGGAGTGAGTGAGTGAGTGAGTGAGTGAGTGAGTTGGGTTTAACGCCGCTTCTAACATTATTCCAGTTAAATCACGGCGTGTCAGCTCAATGTGGGAGGAAAGCCCGAAGTGATGCAGGTCTCAGACGTTTACCACTTCGGTGAAACCCACGAGCACGGGTATGGTGCTGACAAACCTAGAAACATAATCGGGGCGAACCGGGATTCGAACCCACAATCATAGGTTTCTGGCGTGCCCAAGGGACGCAACTCTGCACAGGAGACATGTGGAATATACTCAGGACCTACTCACTGGGATTTTAATATAAAAAAAGTAAATTGTCTCCGAAAATAATTATGCTTCAGGCTGTTAAAAAAAGAAAGAAATTTGTTTGTCACCGAAAATACACTGCTGCAGGGTGTTTTTCTTATAAACATTTCCACATAAATATACCCTTCCCAGCAGTGCTAACAATGGGCGGGTTTACCCCTGTTCTGAAACCGGTTTAGCATTAACATTGTCCGCAAGAATTTCCTTTCTGAAAAGATGGCGATTCGCACTCGATAATATGCACGATGATTTAACACAAATTGCTCAGATAGTGAAAATACAGAATACAGAATTGCCAAGATCTTAGTCGGCGGTCAGCATTTAGAATATTTCATACGTGGGTAAATGTACATATCGACAGCCTGTAAATAAATGAGTATGAACCAGGCAAACCATTGATTGATATTAAGAGCAACGTTCCACCATCTGTAAATAATGATCGATCCCTAAGCATCAGTCAGACATTTACACACAAAGACGTATGTACAAACATGTTTATCCAGAGGGGCGACAAAAAAACTCACATTATATAGACAGCAGCTTATGGAGGGCATACGTGCATACTGAGGGCTTTGTGACAATTTAGCACCATATAGTTTAGAAAGATTCCGACACCGCCCAAACAATCAAAACGTTAATTATTATTGCAAAATAGACACACATCTTTATCTGCAAATACAATTATGCAACATAGTTAAAGAAAACCTGCACGCTAGAGTGATGATACTAGAATACTAGAGTTAGTGCAGAATACATTGATATCTTGGCACCGGCTAATAGTAAAATACTTTTTTCCCTTATTAATATACCATATACTAGTATCTTGACAACTACTGGACAACTTGAGCTGTAGCAATTGTCAGAATGAATTCTGTACAGTTCTCTTACCAAAAGGGAGGGAAAGAAAAAAATTAATTATGTTTCACACGTCTAAAGTTGGGTAACGGTTGATGCATGTGATCGTATCCCAATTGTTTGGATCGATGCTCATGATATCAATCACTCGACTGTCTGGTCCAGACTCTATTATTTACAGACATATTGCTGGAATATTGCTGAGTGCGGCTTTAAACAACAATTCTAACCCGTATCTTCACGGGTGTGACGTTTGCCTGGTTCGATCGTGACTTTAATCTTTTGTCCCCATGTGCATGTCTATGAATACGGTCAGACTGACATGCCCCGTCACGTGAACCAGTAATCGATGACGCTTCCTAAAACGCTGTGAGGTTAATTCCTAGGACTATACATCGTACATCTCACTGTATTGATGTTGCTGACAATAGATTGACGGTGTATCGTAACAAATAGTATGGCCTCCAGCAGACGCGTGTCAGCGGAAGGTACGTTAAAAAATATCCATTCTTTTGTATTATTTTATAGATGGGTGACTGGGTGCAAGTTTAACTTTGAGAGGTTCTTACATGTGTTGTATCGATGTATCCCGTTAGTCGCCTCTTACGAGAAGCATAGTCGCCTCTTAAAACAAGCATGGGTTGTTGGAGACCTTTCTGTATCCGGATCTTCACGGGTCTATAAATGAGCGAGTGAGTTGGATTACACGCCGCTTTGCACAGTATTCCTGTTATATCACGGCGTGTCAACTTAATGTGGGTGGAAAGCCCGCAGGGATGCAGGTCTCAGACGCTTACTCCTTAAGTGAAACACACGAGCACGGGTATGGTGCTGACAAACCAAACATTTAAATGAGAATAAAGACAGAACAAACACATGATAATAACACGTCCCATTTTAATTCTGGAAACCCAATAGTCCAGAAACTCTACGGTCTTTGCCCAGTATCGGTCAAAGGTATTTACAAAATTAAACATGCTATTTTCATGGGAACACACTAGGGAGGACAAAATGAAGAGAGGAAAATGTTCAAAAACTCAATATTAACACCATGGGGCGAGAAAAAGGTGTGGCCCATGGGCGAGAATATTTTCCTTTGCTCTAAACTCATGTGTTTGTTTCAGTAAATACAAACAGGTGTTCTTACAAGTTTCATGACACATAAATGTAACTCATTTGAACTTAATTCAACTATTTTATTGCGATATTGAAATAGTTCGCTTATTGGCGAGAAAAAGGAATGGCACATGGGCGAGAATATGTTCCTTTCCTTAAAACTCATGTTATTGTTTCGCAAATACATAAATGTAGTTCTTTTAAGTATCATGACACAAAATGAAACTCATTTTAACTTAGTTCAACGATTTTACAGCGATATTGAAATATTTCGTCCATGGGCGAGAAAAGTTTGGCCCATGGGCGAGAATATTTTCCTTTGCTCAAAACTCATGGTTTTGTTTCGCAAATACATAAAGGTGTTCTTAGAGGTTTCATGACATATAATTTAACTCATTTCAACTTAATTCAAATATTTTACGGCGTAATTGAAATATTTCTCCCTGGACGAGAAAGTTTGGCCCATGGGCGAGAATATTTTCCTTGGCTTAACAGTTTTAGTTTCGCAAATACATAAAGGTGTGTCTACAAGCATGACACATGATTTACCTCATTTTAACTTAATTCAACTAATTTGGAGCGTTATTCAAATATTTCGCCCATGTTTTCGTCAGTCCCTTTAAAGAATTAACTAATTGTGTGCAAAGTATATTGTATCATGTGAAATATACTTTATATTATATCATTACATTACAATTTAAAAAGGACCTTTGGTTGGATGTTTCCTTCATAGAAGTTTTACAAATTTCACCTTTTTATATATTGTAACGATCTTTAATGAACCCGGCCTTTACGTTTTGATAGATTATCATACGAGTTCATGTGTGTGTACTCCAATGCATTGGCGTTATTTTCCACAACATTAAAGTTTTGTTTGTTTCTTTTTCATTTCCCATTTTATGTCTCGTTGATACATCACACTGGGCAATTAAGTGACACTAGGTATGCAATATACATATAATAACGATTCATCTTTCATTGCATAACGTCTTGCTGAATATATCACATTCTAACGAAATCTCGAAATAATTATTTAATTTTATGTGGTGTCGAACTGACCAATGGGAATTATATTTAAAGGCGACTAAGGAAAACTTGAGTGAATATCATGACACGAAAGCAACTTTTAAATGCATTGCCACTTTTAATATGAAAATGGGAACAATTAAAAAAAAAAGACAACAACAGCCTTCTTGTGATAATTCTCATATTCTCATTAGTATGTTGTATCTAATTACAGTGTCAGCCTTATTTATATGTGATTCTACAATACCTGCTCTCGTTCAATTACAATCTGCCTCACCACGCGTGAATAAACAGTTATACAGATGTTGCTGTGGGCAAATACGTAGCCTGTATATATACACAGTAAAAAAAGTGTTGCACCCCCACATTAATACGTTTGATACATCACAACATTTAAAACGCCCGACTCTGGTTTTAATGGTAGGTATTCCTTGGGGATCTGATGTTAAATGTGTAATGTTTTCGGAGGGAAGATGATCACCAAAACGTAGCAATCAGCACGTGAATTGCATGGTGCATGACATTTGCAGATTGCAGTATCTTCTTAAGCTCAACATCGCCTATAACAGATGTTCTCTGACAGCCCAGTTTATTGTAACCCACAATGCCGGGTAGACGATTGTCAGAAGCAGTCAAGTGGCAGATTATTGGCCTTCATGGAGCAGGTCTTTCGTTCAAGGAGATTGGCAGAAGAACCGGACATCACTACTCAACAATAAGCCGTTTGGTCAGAAAACACGCACAAACTAATGATGTAAGGAATCGCAGACCCTCTGGCAGACCACGTAAGACCACAGTTAGAGATGACAGAGCGTTGTTGAGGGTGGTAAGGCGTCATCCATTTGCTACAAGCACAACCTTGAAACGTCTTTGGCTTCCTCGTCAACAGTTCAGTACCCAGACCGTGAGAAATCGTCTTAAAGCTGCAGGGTTGAAGTCCAGAAGGGTTATCAAGCGACCTAAAGTCACAGACAACCACAAACGACTACGTCTAGCCTGGTGTAGACTGAGACAGAACTGGAACTTGAGGTCCTGGAGAAGAGTCCACTGGTCGGACGAAAGCAGGTTCCTTCTGCATGTTGTGGATGGCAGAGTGAGAGTATGGAGGCGTCCTGGAACAGCTTATACTGCAAGAAACATCATGCCAACTGTACCATTTGGAGGTGGATCTGTTATGGTCTGGGGATGCTTCTCATTTGATTGTAAGCTTGATTTAGTGACCATACGAGGCAACTTGACAGGGGAGCGCTACATCCAAGAGGTGCTGAATCCAGTTGTGGTGCCCCATTTTGACAATCATCCACTGGCCACCAGACCGATATTCATGGATGACAATGCCAGACCACATCGTTCACGAGCTGTGACCCAGGTTATCCACAACAATGCTCTGACGCAGATTCCATGGCCAGCAATGAGTCCAGATCTGAATCCTCTGGAACATGTATGGGACATTTTTGGACGCCTGATTTATCGTCGGGACCCTCCTCCACAGAACTTGCGTGAATTGGAAGCAGCATTACACGAGGAGTGGCAGCAGCTGCCCATGGAGCGATTCCAACGTCTGGTGAGGAGTATGAGACGAAGACTTCAAGCTGTGATCCAAGTGCTTGGTGGAAGTTCTCGATATTGACTTACTGTGTTCGTCAAATCTCCATATGACATTCTTACCCTATTGGATGAATTTGGTCACTAAAAATTATTGAGATGTCACCATACTTAATGCGTCTTCGTTGTTCGTTCATTTTTCGTAAAAGTTCAGCATGAGATTATTACATGCCATAAGGTCATGGAATACCCCATTTAAGTTCATTGTATAGACAATACACTGGTTTGTTGGTATACACGAAATCCTGGTTATAATATTAATTCGGTTATCTTTACACCCTTTCAAAACACCCCTCCATGAAAAAGTATAGGGGGTGCAACACATTTTTTACTGTGTATATATACTCTTCAAAAAAGAAAACTTAACATAGATGGAAAACCACTTTTTGCCAAATATCTAAAATAATTACATTAAATGAGAACCAAATAAGTCAAACAGAAAGACGATGTGTCTATAATTCGCGAAAAACACATGCAAAGCACATAAACGTGGCGTTTGGGGATCAATTTTACAGCTTCATCCAAACGCAACCGCCTGTAAAAAACCGTGCAGCACAGGATCCTGCATTTAGGCATGCAGGTCCCCCTGCTGAATGGGTATAAAAATCCACATCAACGGCTGTTCAAACAGTCCTTATAACGGCAGTAGAGGCGGTGACAGAATGCCAAGACTGAATGCAGCTCAACGGAACAACGCCATTGAGAGATTACAAGCTGGAACAACTCAGCAAGAAGTGGCCAGGCACTTTGGCGTATCCAGACAGACAATCTCCGCACTGTGGACCCGATACAACAACACCAACAGAGTTGACGATAGACCAAGGGTGACAACCCAAGCACAAGATCGATACATCCGGTTGCGACACCTCCGAGACTGCACTACCACAGCCACGTCTACAACCACACAGATCCCTGGGGTACGCAGAATATCAGATCAAACGGTACGCAAAAGACTGAGGGAGGCTGGACTTTTTGCACAAAGACCTGTTCGACGTCATCTATTCACCCCACGTCATCTGGCGGACCGTCTGCTTTGGTGCCAACAGAGGGTTAGATGGGCACGTGCAAGGTGGAGAAATGTACTGTTTACTGACGAGTCCCGTTTCCTACTCACACGTGCTGATGGGCGCGCATGTGTCTACAGACGTCGGGGTGAACGTTACGCCCTCAACTGTGTGCAGCAGGTTGTCCCATGTCCCAGGAGTGTCATGGTATGGGCCGGAATTCATCACGGTGGTAGACCGCCTCTCGTGCATGTGGCAGGTGCATTGACAGATGTGCGTTACAGAGACTTGATCCTACAGCATTACGTTCTTCCTCACGTCAACGTTCATGGCGGACGGTTCCAGCAGGACAACGCTCGACCGCATATTGCACGTGTTTGTCAGGACTTCTTACAGCACAACAACATCCAGACATCACCTTGGCCAGCCCGGTCACCAGATTTGTCCCCGATTGAGCATCTGTGGGACGGGTTGGATCGACGCGTTCGCAGAAGGAATCAACTGCCCCAAACACTTCCGGCGCTTCTTGATGCACTTCAGCATGAATGGCAGCACATCCAACAGCGTGTTATTGACAACTTGATTGCATCTATGGGTCGTCGGTGTCAAGCGGTGATTGATGGACGTGGTGGGCACAACCAATACTGACATTATCTGTACCCCTGTGGCATTAACTGTATCGTGTACGTGTGTCTGGCTAGGTGGCACGATTAATGTTTTGGCCATTGTGTACATTGATCTTCAAACAGTGTTTCAATTATGGTTTCTGTGTCCTATTTTGAAACAATCGCATTATATTGCATTTTGAAAGTCAGTGTCAAGTTGTTATTTTTTAAGAGTATATATATATATATATATATATATATATATATATATATATATATATATATATATATATATATATATATATATATATATATATATATATTTTTGTTGGTACATGTATTACATATATTCTGTTATATGTGGATATGTTAAGCACAAATACACAAGTTTATGAAAGATGAATTAGTGCCTTGATATATTCAACGAGTTGTGTGTCATCGTTTAATGGGTCATTCAGTAAAAGTATGTTGTGAGGCGATAACAAAGGCGCCGCCCAGTATACACAGTGTCGTCCGGTGAACCACCACCCCATCCTGTCAGTAAGACTAATGTAATCGGTACACAAATAGCTTTGATGCGGTGTCAGTGTGGAAGGAGTCCGCCACTGGCCACAGAAATCCTCAAAGTATAGTAACAATCAACAAGGCCAATGCCGTACTAATAACCAAGTGAAACACGTAACAACGGCTGTCAATCTGTCTGCTACAGCTACCATACCATCATCCCTGTCACAACTGGCGTATTAACGGCTGATTCAAATATTAATTTAAAAAGTTCGTTTCCAGACTAACGCATATCGTATACAGTCCTCTTATTTGTTAAAAAAAACCAGTAACAGTACGTCAACTGGAAAATCAACTGGATGTTACATTCCTTATGTCAGCTGACGGCCCTGTTTGTGAAAATATGCACTAGAAATAAGATTTAAAGACTAATAAATCAATTTTAAGACCGCATAGACCATAAAACCGAATAAAATATGTCTTGGTATCATCTCCTGTGTTTTAGATGATGGTAATGACCTGAAATGTTCTTACGTTAGATTAGGAGAAACATTAAAGTGTTTTATAATACTTGGGAATATGAGCAATAAGATGGAGGAACATAAACATGCATGGAATGGAATAGGGAAAATGGTGAAAACAAATTGAAAAGGACATAGTATAAATATTGAGCTTTTGAACATCTTTTTTTCATTTTTCTTCCTTAGTATGTTCCCATGAACACAACATGTTTAATTTTGTAAATACCTTTGACCGAGTCTCTGGACTATTGGGTTTCCAGAATTAAAATGGGACGTGTTTAATATATTCATTTAATTAAATGACAGAACAAACATATGATAATATATTCACATTGGGTCACAGAATTGCTTATACTAACATTTGCTCTTGAGGATTTCACTCATTTTATCCATTCTTGTGCCTGTGAGCATATCAGAAGTCCAAAACTTGCAAGTGTATCAAAGAAAAAAGGTAGTTGGCAGCCATTTGAACATGTGTGGTAATTTTTCATCATTATTGCAAATTATTTCGAAATTTTAAACTTTGATATTTCCATGAGGTCCAAACAGTTCTCATCTTCAAGACCTCATGTAAAGTTATGCCCCGTATGTACAATTAGGCGATAAACCAACTGTGTGTGTTTTTTATTAATTTAGAGTTTCGAACCCCGATTCGATACCTGTAAATTTCATTTGAACGTGAACGCGATAGCATGAGATTTCGAATTTGAAACTCTAGTTCAAAAGTATACACCACTATTATCATGTTACATGAGAGAGTGAGTTTGATTTTACGCCGCTTTTAGCAATATTCCAGGAATATCACGGCGGGGGATACCAGAAATGGGCTTCACACAGTGTACCCATGTCGGGAATCGAACCCAAGTCTTCGGCGTGACGTGCGAACGCTTTAAGCACAAGCCCGACCGCCCCTTATCTTGTTACTAAGATGTGTTAAGTGGTCCTTCGTTACGATATCCGTCTGAAATATATTGTCACACTTGCCTCGCATAATCTAAAAACCGCAAAACGTTATTTGTTATTCGATATAATTACACACGTTGTTGTTGTTACATTGTTGTTGTTATAATATTCGTTCTCGGTAGTGCGGCCTAACGTAGATTCGATACCGCTGTCGGGCCAATCAGAAGGCAGGGATCTAACCTGTCACTGCATTATATGATTTACTTCTATTCCATGTGCAGCAAACGGTTCCCTGTCCGTCAGTAACCAAGACAACGGCACCACGCTTCCAGACTCGTATCCCTCATTCTTCCAGAAGTACACATCTCGCAGATGGAGCATCGGGTACATGATGGTCTTGGCCTTCGTGCTCGTCCAGTCTCTGGAGAACTGCATGTCATTCGCGCTCGTCTGTATGACAAGGGAGATTACTCAGGAACCGGACTTCAACCACACTGTCATTACGTCGCAAGAAACGTATCCTAACATTTGGAATACCACCATGTCATCCAACATGTCATCAAATGGCGGCAAGGTATGTCGAGTCCTGACGTGTCACTTACAACATGGATTGGAGATAACATGGAAGACAACTGGTGTCACCTGAGGGTTCATCCATTATGTATGGAGAAGGGGTGGGAGGTTATTAAAGAAAGAATATATTTTTGGTTTCTACTTCAAGATACATTCTTGTCTGAGCTCAACACAACCGACTCTGTGGTCTCGTGGATAAAGCGTCTGCCTGGTATGCGTTGTACATAAAGACGTTTATAGATGGTACTTGTTGTAACCCTGCCAGGCACTCTAAAAACAGGTGAGGTGAGGTGAAATTAGGTTTAACGTCGCGTCCAAGATTACTGCACTTATATAGCGACGTGCATGCACGTGTATGTGTGTGTGTGTGTGTGTGTGGCTTCTTGTACTAGTCCGGACTGATGCCGATTTATAGTCCTAGCTCACTGAGATACCATGCCGCAGTTTAACATGAATACCCCACTCAGACACAGTATACTGACTCCGAGCCGACCAGTCCTTGTTTTAGCACCTTAATGCCGAGCGCCAGACAGGGTAACAACAAGAACCATCATTTAACGTCTTTTTGTATGACGCAGCCGGGGATCGAACCCCGGACCTTCCGCTCTCCGGGCGGACGCTCTACCACAAGACCACGGAGGCGGTCTCTTAAAACAGGGGATGACCGGGTCGGTGTAGGTATAATGTCTGAATGGGTTATTCAGGTAAAACTGCTACATGACTACCTCTGAATAGCGCACGCACGCACGCACACACACTCACGTGCTTACGAAAATTCTCAAAGCGACGTTCAACTCTAATTCACCTGGCCCTCATCTGAACTCAGTCTGATTCATCAATCTGATCAAAGCATTCTTTAGAACGGTAGAATAGTCCATATTCCTGTCTGTGCATTGAAAGCCCTTAATAATGTCTGCTGTATGAGTTTGCGCTGTATTTAGCAATTAATATTTCAGCACTATCACAGCGGCGACACCAGAAATTAGATGAACACATTGTACACATTGCCCCAGAATTTAGAAATACTTGGCCTTGTAAAACTGAACTACTCCGACCATAGACCAAAGCAGAACTTTCACTCAAGCATGTATATAACCCATTACTCTATCACGATGACGCTGGTACCTGTCAATCAATGAACAGAGGCATATAATAAATACTTCGTCTCGTTAATCTACCGCACAACGCCATATCACAGGTAGGCTATGGTGACAGACTATGCCGAAATACGATTGTTCTTTTAATTCTATTTCCAGACAATTCCAGGAGAATTCAGTTACACGAGCGAGATGCAAGGACTCTTCATCTCATCCCCATTCTATGCCGGCATTATTTCACCAATATTCGGCAGTTTGGCGTCACGGAGATTTGGACCAAAGAGAGTTATCTTTTTTTGCATGCTACTAGGGGGCACTATGGAAATTCTTGTACCCTTGTCTGCACGTACCAAGGACTATCTGGTCGTCATTTGTAGGATTATTATGGGATTTGCATTAGTAAGTCACCAGTAGTCTTTGGTGATATTCACACGATTGTTTCAGAATTATATTTGCATTGTCAGATGTAGAGACATGATAGTGTCACAAAAATAGTACCCATACTTTCAAATATCAGAGAACAAATAACTACAAACATGAAAATATTAATATATCTGCTTCTGATGATTAAATATCTAACCATTGATTGAACGTTAAAACAAATATTTTGGATTATTGGGATTTTATCGAAAATATTATATTGACTCAGGAAATGCTTCAGACAGTTGCAATGTGTTTTTTACAACAACAAACATATTTGGGGTCATAGTTTTATATTTAAAAAATATCTGGTTTTACAACTGTAGCGAAAAAATATCTGGCATTAATACATCCTAAATTCTACTACAAATTAACAACTCATAAATATACTTTTCACAGAACATGATATTGCCGGCGTCTCTGGACATCTGGCTCTACTGGTCCCCTGCACGGGAGAAGGCACAAATGGTTACATACTCGTTTGCAGGTAGCACCAAATGTCATTCAAACATATCATTTTTTGTTTGTTTACTGTTTAACGCCGCACCAACAATATTCCAGCTGTGTGACAACGGTCTATATAATTATAATCGAGTCTAGTCCAGTCAAACCTCTGGTTGATAAAAAAAATTCTAAATTTATTTTAATATTTTTCTTTTCCATATTTCTGTCAGTATCTTAAAGGGTGAAAATACCAAAATAAGACATTCATTAACCCAACCGACGTGAAGCTAAAATCAAATAAAGATTCTCCATTCCCGATTCATCCCGATAGATTAAGCAGATTATTGCAATCAAATTAGGTTCCAGTATCCCGACAAAACGTGTAAATGAATATTAAATAAATAAATACTCCAACTGTCCGGTCGCAAAGAAAGACAACATCCAATTTTAGGCACCCGTTTAGATGACATGAACTCGTATCGGTACCATGTCAAGTATACCTTAACGAATTCTGCTTGTCTGGAATAATGGATATCTCGACATGTGTTCGACTTAACAGGATTCGTTTTGCTTGATTTGTAGTTCAGCAAACACAGAGAAACACGTCTCGTATATATTATGATAATTCAGTTATATATCAGTACTCGTTAATGCTATACCTAAGATGTTAGGAGATCTCATCACGTCAGAGGGACCGTGGGCTCGAATCCTCGTTTCGATCTGATAATGTTTCTAGGTTTGTTACCTAGTGGTTAAAGCGTTCGCTCGTCACGCTGAAGACCCGGGTTCGATTCCCGACATGGGTACAATGTGTGAAGCCCATTTCTGGTGTCCCCCGCCGTGATATTGCTGGAATATTGCTAAAAGTGGCGTAAAACCAAACTCACTCACTCACTCATACCCATACTCGTGGATTTCACAAGAGCGGCCCTGCTAACTGTGGCGTTAAACAAGAAACATACATAAAAATCACAACAGCAGTAAGTCTTAGATGGGTCTATCCTCCTACATCAAGCTGACGCACCGTTATATATACCACTTCACTTTTGATAGGGATATTTATTTATCCTAATATGTCAAGTGTCTATTTAAATTGAATGATATATCTGATTATCCCTCAAAAGTTGAGTAGTATGTAACTGAAAAGAGGCGTTGGCCTGTAAGATAATCTTTGGATTTGTTTTGTCAACAAACTGTTCATGAACGTAGACTGGTTTTCATTACACTGATATTATTATTTACTGCAATATATTAACCATATTTATTAATTTCAGGCTTCAACATGGCAAACATAGTCACCTTCCTGATTTGCGGGTTTCTCTGCGTCATTCCAATTGACAATGGTTGGCCGTTTATATTTTATGTGTTTGGTAAGCGCAATATCTTTCCGTGATATGATAACAATAACAATAATGTATTTGTTCTGCCGAATCACCACATGTTTTTTATGGAAACAATTTTAGTTGTGTTGTTTTAATTATGTTTTACCCTATGTTAAGATATCCTTTTCAAGAAACACATTCAACCATTGGCTTAAGAGTTACTGAATGTTGTTCGCAAGTCAGACAAACCTGGGATTGATAGTGTAAGCACCTCACTGTGGTTCGTGTACGATGACACGCAATCATCAACGTCCCGAGTGCTGCGGACCTAATCTAACCCGATTACGTCATTGATTGAGAAACAATGACCTACATCAATTTTCTATGTGTTACTAGATTAACCCGTGATCCGGCCTAGAATTGGCACCCAGCAACCCATGCTTGAGGCGACTAACGGGATCGGGTGGTCCGACTCGCTGACTTGGTTGATGCATCGTATCATAGTTGCGTATACCGATGCCCATGATGTCAAGACCGCCTCCGTGGTCTTGTGGTAGAGCGTCCGCCCGGAGAGCGGAAGGTCCGGGGTTCGATCCCGGGCCGCGTCATACAAAAAGACGTTAAAAGATTAGACTTGTTGTTACCCTGTCTGGCGCTCGGCATTAAGGGGCTAAAACAAGGACTGGTCGGCTCGGAGTCAGTATACTGTGTCTGAGTGGGGTATTCATGTTAAACTGCGGCATGGTATCTCAGTGAGCTAGCACTATAAATCGGCATCAGTCCGGACTAGTACAAGCAGCCACACACACACATACACGTGCGTGCACGTCGCTATATAAGTGCAATAATCTTGGACGCGACGTTAAACCCAATTTCACCTCACCTCACCTCACCTAATGATGTCAATCACTGGGATTGTCTGGTCCAGACTCGATTTTTCACAAACCACCGTCATATTGCTGAAGTATTTTTGAGTACAGCGTTAAATAACAAACAAACAAGGTATTTATATTACTGAATACTGTATTTCCTTCTTATCGACAGGTGGATGTGCGGTGATCTGGTGTCTGGCATGGCTTGCCATAGTATACGACAAACCGGAACTCCAACCAAGTATATCACACGAAGAAAAGTCTTACATTTTTCAACACAGGACCAATGTGGACAATGATCGTAAGGTGTGTTATTAAGGTGACACCCTGCCCTTTTTTAGCTAATAACTATTTCAACTGTAGATTTAAAGATGCCAGGTTGTTAAATTTAGCTCCGTAATTAGAATGAGTGGATCGGCTTGGGTTGAACCGGTAACATCGTAAAGTCAAAGTATGTCAGCGTACGTACGGAAAACGTCATATATAAAACCAATATTATTTTACTCGCATATATAAGAGGCATAAACAGTATATATCAAAGCTATGAAGTAAGCACTAACATAAAGTTATCAACACGACAGAAAACAAAAATGACACTCGATTTCTGTCTTGTTTGTTTATGGTAATGAATTGCCACGCATACTTTGAATATTGTAGCGATCGCAAAACTGCATTGTGTAACCAACAATTATTCAAGTCAATATTTCATTAGCTTCTGCGGTGATTCGACCTAACTGTTTCAATCAAAGGTGGGTATTGTGATCAATCAAAACGAGTATTTCCAAAGTTATAATGTACTCTTTGAAAGTCTTGGGGATACTCGGAAGTGACTTAAAAATTCCAAAATTGTATATATTAGTATATTATATATTAGTAATAGTTGAACGAATTGGGAACACTTTACAACCGGAAGTGAAGTATGACAACAGATGTCATGATCGCCAACGATCTTGAAGGACGAAAGGGTTAAGATGGGAAATTTCAAAGATGACGATTTGGATCAGTATTGCGTGATACCGCCATATACTGAGTATGAGTCTTTTATCACAGACTGTGAAACATTGAAGTATTGGCCACTGCACGTCTGCCAGTTTCCAGCATGTCCTATGATCCCCTACTTTTTTAAAGAGTATATAAATGTTCACCTCCACCCTAATAGAATACTACACACTAAAGTTGCTATTGTTTTCAAATTAGAAACCGACCAAGCGGTCGGGATTAGACAGAATATTTTACTTCAAACATATACAAACGTATTACTCTGAAAGAAAGACCTGAACATTATATTTTCACATTCAGTCAGAACATCCCGAGCGAACGATTTCTGGTTTAATTTTAAATAATTTTTTTTTTTTCTGTTTTTCTTGAACAAATGATCTGTTTAAAAAGTCACAACACCCTACTACAACATCATCCCGACAACGTCCACTGTTCACATCTAGCTCTTGCCACCTGTTTTCAGGACAGCCATATCCCATGGAAGAGCATGGTCTCCAGTGTACCAGTGTGGGCCTACTGGGCTGTCATGTTCTTCCATGCGTGGAACAGCAGCGTCCTCTTCAGTTATCTCCCCACGTACATGGCCACAGTGCTAAATTTTGATGTTGAACAGGTAAGTAAGAGACCTACCCTAGAACTTTAATCAATATTTATTTTTACTATTATTTCATTTATTATTACAATATACTTGCTCTACAGCTTTCTCTGACACGAAACGTTTCAAAATGTAGTAGTCCGCAGCAAATGTTGTCGCCTCGAGGTAAAAAAAAGTATTTTTAAAAACACGTTAAATGACTGGCTATACTGCTTTTTCTGACAATTTTATTTTTATAAATGTACACGTCTGCAGCAAATGTTGTAACCTAGTGGTTGAAGCGTTGGAACCACAACCAACACTCATCACCACCACCATGATCACAACCACCACACATCGTCACCACCCCCATGATCACCTCCACCACCCCCATGATCACCTCCACCATCCCCATGATCACCACCACCATCACCACCAGCATCCCCATGATCACCACCACCATCACCACCAGCATCCCCATGATCACCACCACCATTACCATCACCACCCCCATGATCACCACCACCATCACCACCAGCATCCCCATGATCACCACCACCATCACCACCACCATCCCCATGATCACCACCACCATCACCACCACCATTACCATCACCACCCCCATGATCACCACCACCATCACCACCACCATCCCCATGATCACCACCACCATCACCACCACCATCCCCATGATCACCACCACCATCACCACCACCACCACCATCACCACCCCCATGATCACCACCACCATCACCACCACCATCCCCATGATCACCATCACCATCACCATCACCATCACCATGATCACCACCACCATCACCACCACCACCATCACCATCACCACCACCACCATCATCCACAACCACCATACTCATCACCACCACCATCACCACCACAACCACCACCATAATCACCACCACTACCATCACCTCAACTAACACAACCACCACTGCTACCACCACAACCGTCGTCACCACCATCACCACTACTACTTCCACCACCACTACCATCATCACCTCCACCACAACAGCAACCAAAACAACCACATCTCTACCACCACAACCTTGTTAAGACGAGAGGTATTAGAAACCCAAAAATGGTAGAATGTCGTGTTTTTTAACGTTTCTCTTGACCCCTAGGACTTGTATTTGTTCCCATTTTCTTATGTACTGATGCACAAATCATGCATGATCTTTTCAGAATGGTGCCCTCTCCTCACTTCCATACGTAACACGGGTCATGGGCACCGTGGGGTGGAGCATCATCTCAATACAGCTGATGAAGGTCATCTCCATGACCCACACAAGGAAGCTGATACAGACAATAGGTGCGAGGATCCACATGTTGCATGCCAGTTATAAAATAAGGTCTCCAACAAGTGACCATTTGTTTGACGGAATTGTCCAACAACGATTTGATCAAAAACTTTCAACCCCTTCAAGCCTTTAACATTACGACAACTGTGACCTAAAATAGACAGGGAGGGGGTAAGACCCGCCGGCTTGGTTGAATGCAAGTCATCTTACCCCGACGGAGTAGACGTTGCTCATAATATCAACCACTGATTTGTCTGACCCAGTCTCGATTATTTAGAGGCATGTCGTGATCATTTGATAAAGCTAGAATACAGCTGATTATGACATAAAACAATATTCACTCACAGAACAAAATTTATTTCACATGTATATTCATATATTCAGGCTCAGGAGCACCAGAAACATATTTTGGGGTTCGAATCCCGGTTCACCGTGACTATGTTTGTAGTTTCTATATTACCACACCTGTATTCGTGGGTTTCACCGAGATGGCAAACATCAAAGACCTGCATAAGTGAGTGAGTTTGGTTTAACGCCGCTTTGAACGGCATTCCAGTTATATCACGGCGTGTCAGCTTAATGTGGGAGAAAATCCTCAAAGGATGCAGGTCTAAGACGTTTACCCCACATTGGTGTAACCCACGAGCACGGGTATTGTGTCGGCCAACGAGAACCGAACCCACAACCAAAGGTATCTGGCTTGCCCAAGGTACGCAACTCTGCACAGCGAATTGATGCGCGTTAGACGACTGTGCCACTCGTGCCCCACCTGCATAAGGTATCCATCAATATCAAGCTGACACACCGTCAAAGCGTTAAACCAATCTCACTCACTCTCATGCATTCAGGGGATAACACGTTTGTTTGTTGAAGGTTACACAGTGTCGGCTGCACTTACCATTGGTCTTTGTTTCCTGGAGGACGGCCAAGAATACATCGCTGTTGCCATGTTCGCATTGACCACGCCCTTCACGGCTGCCGCAGTCAGTGCGGCTATAGTAAGCCCTGTGGACCTTGCCCCACAGTAAGTATCAATGAATGTTTTGTGTATTCCAACTGTATCTCACCTTACATTAAAAACCTAGCTTCTGCCTGGTTAAGGAATGGGTAATTAATCCATGTAGCTCGCTCATGAAGCCCGCCCATATACCCCGCTGAGAAATCAATCGGAACCAACCTTAGGTAATTTGCTTATCTCGCATAAGTATCGTTGCGCTGAAATGAACCGATGTTTATTCGAATACATTAGGTAAGTTACTCGGTTCGTTCGCATCATCTGCTAGCTGTTAAATGGTTGAATCAAATCGTTTTACTCAGTGAAACTTCGGACATATATTCCTGGTCTGTGTGAATGAATGAATGCCGGTGAGTTGTCCACTGATCCCTAGGGGTATGTGGTGTGATGGACCCTGAGTATGAGCCTGTGTACCCCTCGCATGACGGCTATATCACACGATTTACCTCTCGGTTGACAACTTATAATACCCCATACCACCGTTGGGCCCTCACTGGTAATTCATGATCAGTTGATCCAACTCACAACACGCGTTTGAGACAAGTAGGCGGTGCACAGAATTTGGGCAAATGAATGAATAAATATAAACAATCATGTAAATGAATGACCTGAGTTATTAATCATTGCTCTCTGGGATAGAAAATGTATTCCATTTTCACAGCAAATGAATTCCCTTCACTGTCACGAAACTTTTGCCATCTATGCACGGATACTTGACAACTGCACGTACTAATATGTGCTATTGAACTCGCCACTCGCCACTTCACCATGGTACTGCTTATCGCGGACCACCCGATACCCCTTTCTTTATAATGGTACGCGCAAGTGGGCGGACCACATACATAGTCATACGGGGTTAATTGTCAGGTTACAACTCTTATGTTATATAATGGAGTGAGTGAGTGAGGTGGGTTTAACGCCGCTTTTAACAGTAAGTTATATCAGCTCAGCGTCTCAGCTTTATGTGGGAGGGAAAGCCCGCAGGTCTCAGACGTTTTCCACTGTGGTGAAACCCACGAGCACGGGTATGGTGCTGACAAACCTATAAACATAATGTTGGCGAAGAGGGATTCGAACCCCCAATCATAGGTTTTTGTCGTGCCGAAGGGACGTAACTCTGCACAGCGAGGTAATATAATGGAGAAATTACGAGAATCAACGATCCCAATCTGGCACCAACAGTTTCCAATGATTTCTGACATAAATTATGTTGATACAAAATGTAAAAAGTGCCATATTGGTCACCCGTCATCGGGACGTGCATTTCTAGTATGCACATTTTTTTCCTCAGATACGCTTCCGTCATGACGTCAGCCGGCATTGCCTTTTCTCAGATGGCAATGTCAACAGCACCAGTAGTAGTGTCCTACATTATCCCAGAGGTAATATCACAATGTCTATAGCACCAGTAGTAGTGTCCTACATGATTCCAGAGGTAATATCACAGTGTCTAAAGTAGTGTCCTACATGATCCCAGAGGTAATATCACAATGTCCATAGCACCAGTAGTAGTGTCCTACATGATCCCAGAGGTAATATCACAATGTCTACAGCACCAGTAGCGGTGTCCTACATGATCCCAGAGGTAATATCACAATGTCTACAGCACCAGCAGTGGTGTCCTACATGATCCCAGAGGTAATATCACAATGTCTATAGCACCAGTAGTAGTGTCCTACATTATCCCAGAGGTAATATCACAATGTCTATAGCACCAGTAGTGGTGTCCTACATTGTCCCAGAGGTAATATCACAATGTCAACAGCACCAGTAGTAGTGTCCTACATGATCCCAGAGGTAATATCACAATGTCAACAGCACCAGTAATAGTGTCCTACATTATCCCAGAGGTAATATTACAATGTCCATAGCACCAGTAGTGGTGTCCTACATGATCCCAGAGGTAATATCACAATGTCAACAGCACCAGTAGTGGTGTCCTACATGATCCCAGAGGTAATATCACAATGTCTACAGCACCAGTAGTGGTGTCCTACATTGTCCCAGAGGTAATATCACAATGTCTACAGCACCAGTAGTGGTGTCCTACATTGTCCCAGAGGTAATATCACAATGTCTACAGCACCAGTAGCAGTGTCTAACATGATCCCAGAGGTAATATCACAATGTCTATAGCACCAGTAGTGGTGTCCTACATGATCCCAAAGGTAATATCACAATGTCTATAGCACCAGTAGTGGTGTCCTACATGATCCCAGAGGTAATGTCACAATGGCTAATGCTCCAGTAGCAGTGTCTAACATGATCCAAGAGGTAATATCACAATGTCTATAGCAATGTCCTACATAATCCAAGAGGTAAAATAACTCGACTCGATTAGCTACAAACCGTAATCTTAAATAGACGACGTAAACATCAAACAAACACTATTCTAAATATTTGAGCTATGGTCAAGATGATAACCCCTGTAGCTGAAATATTGTTTGGCATAACACCAGTCTCTCTGATGAAGTTTATTAAACTCTTAGGGATTGGGAATTACAGTGAGGCGAAGTGAAATGGGGTTTAAGGAAGCATTAATGATCATTTCACTCATTATGGGGATGTGCATGTACGTGTGTGAATGTGGCTGCTTGTTCTAGTTCGAACTTTTAACGTGTTTTGGTATGACGCTACCAGGGTATCGAACCCCCGGCCTTCTGCTCTCCGGGCAGACGAGGCGGTCGGGTCCTGGTTATGGAGGTGAGGTGAAATTGGGTTTAACGTCGCGTCCAAGATTATTGCACTTATATAGCGACGTGTATGTACGTGTGTGTGTGGCTCCTTGTACTAGTCCGGACTGATGCCGATTTATAGTGCTAGCTCACTGAGATACCATTCCGCAGTTTAACATGAATACCCCACTCAGACACAGTATACTGACTCCGAGCCGACCAGTCCTTGTTTAAGCCCCTTAATGCCGAGCGCCAGTCAGGGTAACAACAAGTCTAATCTTTTAACGTCTTTTGGTATAACGCGGCCGGGGATCGAACCCCGGACCTTCCGCTCTCCGGGCGGACGCTCTACCACTACACCACGGAGGCGGCCCCTGGTTATGGAGGCTGCTATAAATGTTGTAGAAGATAAAGATTCAGACAAAGCAATTAATCATTTGGTGACGTAAATATTGGGTGATGTGGCATGGAACAATATTCATGTCTTCTTCTTATTTCATTTTCAGAAGACCAGGGACCAGTGGGCTTCGGTCTTTTATATGAACGCCGCCGTGTATTTTATCGGGGCCTTAACGTATCTGATATTTGGCAGCGGAGAGATCCAACCATGGGCAGACAACTCTGTCGAGAAGAATGACGTTGAAGCGCCCAGGTCCAGGAAGCAGAGTGAAGTAAACGCAGGGTACATCAACGACGCGGACGAGATGTCAAAGATGTGATGTATGGCTTGTGTGATAGCAGTGTGAGGGATTCAACACAGACATTCTTTTCTTCAAAAAGGAGCCCAAAAAAATCGGTTAACTTTTTCAGGACATCCAACAAAGCCAGCAAACAGTATATCCCCCTTTTGATTGAATCTACTGGGACGAATTCAGCATTTGAAACTATAAACCATCTTTCAGAAACAGAAATAGCCTTCATTTGTCCCACTCCAACGATCGAACCGAACAACCTTACGTCAATAAAATTAAGTAATAATCAGTTATACGATTTATTTATATTTTTGTTTCGATCTCCCACAGATTGTTAAAAAATTGAAAGGGGTATATTATCTAGAGTCACCCATTTTAAAACTAACATACACACACAAAAAAAAGCATTTGTGACCGACCTGGAGATAAGGGACTCTATGGGTAAAAAAAACACGTTTTGACTTGTTATATTTTAAAACTACAGTATCTTAGGACCACAGAAATACATGGCATTAAACATTTGGGCTCCCACGTTCCGACTTATAGCGGTTTATGTAGTGAGTGTAGTTCTTAGATATAATGTCCGATTATTTGAAAGAGATATGCATGCAAAAATGTTTTGATATCATATTTATATTACATTACGAACTAAAGAGAGAAAAATAAGATTTTTGAAGTCCGCACACATGGCGGTTTTTAGGGAAGTAAGTTGACGTCAAACGTCATTCTTTATGACTCCACAACACAATTGTATCCTAGCCCTGGTCAATAAGTTATCTTTTCTTTGGTGGGTCACATTTACATATAAAATCAGTAGTACACAGTACACCAAAAGAACGGACCTTGCCAGATGCATTTGGAGTACGGCAAGGTTCGGTACAAGGTCCTCTCTTCCTCCCAAGAGCCACCGTCTAGCACGAGTAATAATGTCTCATCATCCCATACCCAATTATACATCAATGTCTACTACCTGTAAACAGCGAACACTGGCCTGCATGAAAGACCATAGTGAGTGAGTGAGTGAGTGAGTGAGTGAGTGAGTGAGTGAGTGAGGTTTTACGCCGCTTTTAACAATATTCCAGCAATATCACGGCGGGGGACACCAGAAATGGGCTTCACACATTGTACCCATGTAGGGAATCGAACCCGGGTCTTCGGCGTGACGAGCAAACGCTTTAACCACTAGGCTACCCGCCCTGCGAGTTTCTGACAATGGGATCAGCCATCAATGACATATGTTGTCGGAACTGTTGGGAAGCGTAGGGCAGGACATGCTCACACCCAACACCTGGTGTCATAACTGATTTCCAGTGATTCATTCATACTATTTTTCACAGCTATTTGGCCTATTACGCCAAAGGAATCTTTTTCGTTGGATAATCGAGACTGGTTATTTGCGGGCTTTGGCGTTTTATATTTACATTAAAAAAATGTATCCAATACCTGATGGGACAACAGACAATCATTTTACGTTTGTAAACAAGTGTGATATCCAGACATTATTATTATAACTCTCACTTATTCATCATCTTGGGCAGAATTTTTGAAGTTCTGAACAGTTCAAAATCGTTGGCTGTAAACAGAGAAATAACTTCAAGTTTCCCACTCTTCTGCATCTATGATGTTGGACCTTAAAGTCAATCCCTGAAGAATCTCGCCAGTGCCCATAAGCCCGATCGTTCACTCCACTCAGTGAATCAGTGGAATAGTATTCTAAACTCAAGTCACCTCAGATCTTCCAGGTTTATATTTTAGACAAATGCGTTCTCTTCGAAAGGACTATGTATGTTTTATAAGGATAATTCACTTCGTTTCAGGACGAATGTGCAAGATGACTATTCCTGGCAGTTATAAAATATTTTACTTTGTGATATAGTTGAGATACTGTTAAAAGTGACGTGGGAAACAGCACTCGACCATGCTCATTTCATAACAATGGGGGTGTACTTGTTAGAAGACAACCCGTGACCTTGGAGCAGGTAATCATGTATGACCATTATCCTGAACAATTTGTCATCAGTGACGTTAATGAGATCCAATCTGCAAAATCATAGTGAGTGAGTGAGTATGGTTTTACGCCGCTTTTAGCAATATTTCCAGCAATATCACGGCGGGGGACACCAGAAATGGGCTTCACACATTGTACCCATGTCGGGAATCGAACCCGGGTCTTCGGCGTGACGAGCGAACGCTTTAACCACTAGGCTACCCGACCGCCCCCACTGACTGACGACCATCGTATGGCTAATGGCGCTATGGTTCATACTTTCTGCAACAACAATCACAAGTCTGTGTTAATATATAAGATAAACCTAGCACTAAGATCACTTTGTGGTTCACAGTCTTGTCGACTTCGGAATATTGTCTATTGGTCAAGAGTGACAAGTTCACATATAAATTCGTTGCTGATGACAACCTATTTCGCCGAATATGACACATATTGTAAAGGATACTGATTTCACTCACGTCGACGATGATGTAGGACGCAGTCAACGGGGACAACATCTGTGCCACCACTGCCCCGACTGTCCCTAGTGCTGTAATTACTGATGCGAACCTTCGCAACAAACATGTGTACGTTATTGAAACTATATCGTGAATGAGCGAGATGGGCTTAACGCCACCCTGGACTGTGTTTCAGTTATATAACGGCATATACATATGGTAAACTAAGAATCAAGCATGGCTGTGTGTTAGCTTATTGTGAGCTCACGGTGACACATGTCGCAGACAGTGAACCCAAGATCAGTGGTTCCTGGTTCAGCAATGGGATGTAACTCTGCACAGCCTTAGCCCACCCCACAAAATGCCTACCCCAGACCCCCGAACGCAGGCACTCACAGTGGAACTCATATGCGTATAAGTCAGACAGAAGCGTCCCCTGTAAAATCATAACGTTGAACGAGTCATTGGTACAGGGAAATGTGTCTTTGTATTTCATTTTTGCGAAGTAACCGTTACAAAATATTTTCCGGAACTTCTGTCTACCTCAATGGCACTAAAGCTTTCGAAGTAGGATCATGAAGATCAGCAAGTAAATATATAATAAACAGAAAAATTGTCTTGTCGAATAACATTTTTATCTCATATTTTGACCTGATAAAATGTTCACTTGAGGCTGGGAATGTGGAAACTACACAGATCGGTGTTGTTGATTGAGACGAGTACTTCGGCATTGGGAATGTGGAAACTACACAGATCGGTGTTGTTGATTGGGACGAGTACTTCCGCATTGGGAATGTGGAAACTACACAGATCGGTGTTGTTGACTGAGGCGAGTACTTCCGCATTGGGAATGTGGAAACTACACAGATCGGTGTTGTTGATTGAGACGAGTACTTCCGCATTGGGAATGTGGAAACTGCACAGATCGGTGTTGTTGATTGAGACGAGTACTTCCGCATTGGGAATGTGGAAACTACACAGATCGGAGTTGTTGATTGAGACGAGTACTTCCGCATTGGGAATGTGGAAACTACACAGATCGGTGTTGTTGACTGAGACGAGTACTTCCGCATTTGGAAGGTGGAAACTTCACAGATCGGTGTTGTTGATTGAGACGAGTACTTCCGCATTGGGAAAGTGGAAACTACACAGATCTTTGTCACATGCTTGTTGTGTTTAGGGTGTGTGAAAATTCCCCTATCGTTGCTGTTGATTAAAAAATATTCTTGTCGTGTTTTGGGTATGTTGAAACCTTCAAAGATCGGTGTTGTTGATTGAGACACATGCGTGTTGTGTTTAGGGTATGTGGAAAGCCTCACAGATCGGTGTTGTTGATTGAGACACATGCGTGTCGTGTTTGGGGTATGTTGAAACCTTCACAGATCGGTGTTGTTGATTGAGACACATGCGTGTTGTGTTTAGGGTATATGGAAACCTTCACAGATTGGTGTTGTTGATTCAGACATGCGTGTTGTGTTTAGGGTATATGGAAACCTTCACATGTCGGTGTTGTTGATTCAGACACATGCGTGTTGTGTTTAGGGTATGTGGAAACCTTCACAGATCGGTGCTGTTGATTTAAGACACATGCGTGTTGTGTTTGGGTTATGTGGAAGCTCACAGATGGTTGCGGTTCTTTAAGACACATGCGTGATGTGTTTGGGTTATGTTGGAAGAACAGTTAATGAACAATGCATGGGTTCCGTCTACATTTCCCTCGGGACTGGTAATTATTAATAGGGGGATAGGGGCGGTGATATCATTGTTCTTGTTTTGTACTATAGTAAATGACCAGAACCCGAGGCTAATACATTCGGAGTGTTATTACGTGTACCAAGATAAGCTTTGATGTCTACATTATTAATAGTACCTTTTCCCAAGCTCTTTTTAAATGTAAAAATGGAGTCATCAAAAGTCTACTGTTTATTCTGGTACAGCTTCTTCAATTCCACTCAAAAAAATACCATTTCACACATTGTTTACCTCTTCCAACTATACCCAAAACAAATATTTTAGTTCTCAAGGAAAATAGATTATAAGCCGAGTATATTTTTATATCATAAATAGCTCCTATGGAATGAAAATTGTATTATGAGAACCTCTGGCGAGCATTATACATACGCTTTATTCCTGAAATATATTTTCATTCACCGAGCGACGGACCGCCTCCGTGGTGTAGTGGTAGAGCGTCCGCCCGGAGAGCGGAAGGTCCGGAGTTCGATCCCCGGCCGCGTCATACCAAAAGACGTTAAAAGATGGTACCCTGTCTCGCGCTCGGCATTAAGGGGCTAAAACAAGCACTGGTCGGCTCGGAGTCAGTATGGCAGCTGTGTCTGAGTGGGCTATTCGTGTTAAACTGCGGCATGCATGGTATCTCAGTGAGCTAGCACTCTAAATCGTCATCAGTCCGGTCTAGTACAAGCAGCCACATACACACACGTACATGCACGTCGCTATATAAGTGCAATAATCTTGGACGCGATTCCGCGATTAAACCCCATTTCACCTCACTGAGCGACGTCACAAATAGTGTAGCAACACATTGCCTGAGTGAACAGACCCGTGTATTATGTCGGTATTTATGTATGTAATTATTATATAAATACCTGTCTCCCACTAGCTCTCACACGTCAAGAGAGGCCAAGACATTTGTTTGTTATGTAAGGCGAAGTTCTTCCCTGTAAGATGACCTTTGCCTAGTTAACGGACAGGCTTGGTTCATCGCATCTGTTATATGATAAAATAAGCCTCTCGAATGTTCTTTTGCTCTTGTAGCCTACTTACCCTATCAGAAATATGAATAACACACGCAAACATTATTGCAAACAGTGTAAATCTGGGAATAGTT